TTGTAATTGGTGGGGTTTATCTCTTTTATAGAATGTCTCAATATGTTTACTGAATTGATTAATTTTGTGCCACAAACTGAGTATCACAAAACCTCAATGGATTCATGATTATTATCATATGTAAGCAATTATCTGGATCCCTTTGTTGAAAAATAAGTGCTAGTCTTAGCTTGGATAGATTAGCTACTTTATCTCTTCATAGTGTGTTGAGGGAAAAGCAGGCAATCAAAACACTATTAAAAGTTCACATATAGGGATTTTTTTTTATTCTTTTGTTTTTTAACTTTCTTTTCAAAATTCCATTAATCTATTGTGTTTATGCTTAGTGTGAATGTGATAATACACATGCCCTGGTACAGCACAGTGGCAAGAGGACAATGGGAAGAAGTAGGTTTGCTCCTCCTCCTGTGTGGCTTCCCAATGACTCCGTTTGTCAGGCTTGGTTGGAATAGCTCTTACCTGCCAGTCCTTATGATTTTCTTATCTCAAATCAAGCATTTTAATTGCTAGAGTAGGGTTCTAGAGAGGTAGTTCAAATGGTACATAGCTTGCCAGGCAACCATGAGGACTGGTGTTTGATCCACAGAATCCACATAAAAAATAAATAAATCAATAAAACCTGGCCTTAAGTGTGGTTAAGGGCAGGCCACATGCCCAGCAGTAGATGGCCATCACAAAGAGAACTCAATGGTGTATTTGCAGGTTTTTTGTTCATAATACATAATACTTTATCTGGGGATTTTTTTTTAACTTGTAGATATTTTGCTTGTATATTATGGCTTCTGATTTTGTGTTTTATGGGTTTCTGTGTATGTAATGTGTATATCTGTGTCTATGTATGTTTCTTGTGCTTTTCCTTTGACTTTTTTTGTTTACTTTTGTTCTATTCTGGGTTCATTTGTTTATTTATTTAATTTCTTTTTAGAAGCCTATGTGTTTACTAATGAGACAGAGAAAGGAAGGACGTGGATTTGGATGACGAAGTGGAGAGGATCTGGGAGAAACTGGGAGAGGAGAAACCATAGTCAGAATATATTGAATAAAATATAATCTATTGTCAGTAAAAAATTTGTAGAATGTCAAATAACACTCCACCTCCCACGTAATCTAGGCACAGTTATACATACTTGAAATCCCAGTATTGGGAAGTCAAAGACACCCCCAGATTCCAGGGGTTCACGTAGCCAACCTACCTTACTTACCTAGGGGGTTTCTGACCAATATGAGACACCACTTTAAAAATCAAGGTTGACAGTGCCTGGGGAATGAAGTTGAGAACATTGTTCCTTGGCCTCTACATACATGTGCATGTAAGAGCATATGTATCCACACACATGTATCTGTACACACATAAAGAATTATTCACAAACACAAATATTTATAGTAATAATTGCTATTAGAAGGCCATTTTAAATGACAATAAATATCTGGCTTCATATATATAACAAAAAAAATTAAAAATCTGACTGATATTCTGAGCTCCCATATAAGATCAGGAAACATCTCTGCGTGGTAATCTTCTCTAAAAATAAAAATAATATTGTAAGACTTCAATGTTAAATGTAAGAGTGCAAACAAAACTTGTTAAATAACCTGAATTCCTAATTTTCAAATACTGGAATCTCACTTATTTTTCCAAGTTGTTTTCAGTTGAAAGCTCTGACAAATTCTCGTCTGCACCCACCCCAAAGCAAAGCTGGAAACTCTAGTTGCCGTCTGCTGCTTGCAAATCTTGAAACCGTTATTGCGACTCTCTAAGTGCTTTTGGATCATTCTGATGTGGTCTCCCTAGTCCCAAAGAAAGCTTTTTCCCAGGCCACTGTTTATGTAGCCAGAAAATGTCTTTCTTGTATTGAATTGCTAAGGCCCATGGCCACCACCTAACAAAACTGAGGCTTTGGCCTCCCCTAAATTTCTTGTGCTCTTGTTCTTGGCTCCAGTCTGTAGTCACATGAGGTTCTTTAGAAAATAAATCCTGAGTCTGAACCAGAGAAATCTGGGTCTAATTGGTCTGGTGAATAGTCAGGCCATTAGGATCTTTTTAAGATGTCACCTTATGATCATACTATGTGGCCGAGTTTGAGACTAATGTTAACAGTATTTACAGGTGAATCCACTAAAATGGTGAAGACAATAATATAATATTAGTAACCATGAAGCGAATGTATGCGTCTTATCCCCTAGGAGTGTTAATACATGGTAAGAAGATGTTTGCCCCTCCATTAACATACATTGTAACGGCCTATGTGAAGATTAGAAGATGATGGTGAAGTCATGCTATGCCTTTGTCATAATTTTAGTGGTAAGAATTACTTACAAAGCAATGTTCATTATGGTAGCCAACATTTCAACTAGTTCAGACTCTTAATCTCTTTCTCATGTTTTATGCTCTGGTTTCCTAACCAGAGTCCCCAAGAGAGGCTCCAAGCCCTGGCTAAGGGACAGGAACATAGTAGGTGCTAAAGGGAAGGCAGTTTTGCATAATCATTGGTAATATATTTATCAAATGAGTGCAGATATGAGCATTGTTGAAAGAAATGTAACAGTTTTACAAAGATATTTGATGTTAATATATAAGTTATGTTGATGAAAAATGGAACAGTCCTGTAGATATGGAGAAAAGGAAGAGGAAAACAAAATGAAAGGTCCAGCAACATTTTTATTTTAAGTGGGAGGGCTGGGCGTGCCACTCATCCCTTAGAATGTTATACAAACACAAAGAAATTATTTAGATATCTTTATCAGAAATATAAATGGAAATAAAACATAAAATAAATATGAAATACGACAAAATGAATAGCTACCAAATCATTGGCAGATCAGATAGTTTTAAACAGAAAAAAATGTTGAGAAGTGGTTGTAAGATTTGTACCTTATAAATAGAACTATATTTTTCAAGCATGCATTGTTCACTCTCAAAATATGCCAAAATAAAACTAAACCCAGAAATTGCAGAAACAGCATATGGTCATAATTTAACATTACAGAAGTATTTTTTTATATGTGTGTGAAAAGGCTCCTCCAAAATATTTAAAAGAAACAATAAAACAAAAGCACATTAAATGGAATAACCATTTGCCTTAATAATTATTGGAACTGTGGGAAACTAAAACCATAGTTGTAAGCAAATTAGAAATATCACATTATATTATAGTACCACATTTCAGCAGCAGCATATTGCCAATATTTTTAAAGACAAATTCATGTACACTAGTATTTATTATATTTAAATTAAGTCTTAATCAATAATTTAAATTTTATAAAACTAGGAGAAAATGTCAAATGAATATAAATTTAATCTTGGAGATTTTAAAATCATCAAATGAGCTACATAAATAAATCTTGTAAGAAAATGTTTAATGGTAAGCAAGAACACAAAGCAAAATATTATTAATTATTAGAAGAAGGCAAAGTGAATACAAGGAGAAATTAAAAAACACAATATGGTGGTAATCTTATTTAAGAAGATAATTGTAAAGTTCTAGAAAAATACTAATGAATATACTTTACACAGGGTGTTAAAAATATAACTTCTGGCCAGGCCAGACAGTGGTGATGTCTTTAAGCCCAGAACTAGGGAAGTAGAGATAGGCAGATGGCTGTAAGTTCAAGGACAGCCTGGTCTATAGAGCAAGTATATCAATACCCTAGCTTACTATGAAATATGTAGATGATTTTAACAACCCATACAATATTATGAAGGAAACTATGCAGTAACTACAGGAATTCATGGAAAGCTAAATCCTTGACCATAGTCTCCCCAGATAGTCACATTTTTAAGAATGATGTCCTCTAAGTATTTCTACACACGTTTCTTAAATTTATATTTTTCAGGAAGTTTGAATCAGATTGTTTTCCATTACAGTTTTTAAAATCTGAATCAGGAAACTCACAAAATTCCACCCACCCTAAGACTTGTCCATGGATTGGGAAGAGAGTAACTGTAATGTGGGCTATTTCTGAATTCTACACAAAAAATTTGACAGAATCTGCGCAAAGTCCAGGGGAGCTACCCTGATTGATTCTATAAGAGAATATCCAGTCTCTCTGTCTTACATGTTTGCCCTTTCCTGTAACTTCTTTATTTTTTTTAATTTTATAATTTAATTTAATTTTACATATCAGCCACGGATTCCCTTTTTCTCCCCCCCCCCCCGCCTTTCCCACAGCCCACCCCCCATTCCCATCTCCTCCAGGGCAAAGACTCCCCTGGGGATTGAGTTCAACCTGGTAGATTCAGTCCAGGCAGGTCCAGTCCCCTCCTCCCAGGCTGAGCCAAGTGTCCCTGTATAAGCCCCAGGTTCCAAACAGCCAACTCATGCACTGAGTACAGGACCCGGTCCCACTGCCTGGATGCCTCCCAAACAGATCAAGCCAATCAACTGTCTCACTTATCCAGAGGACCTGATCCAGTTGGGGGCTGCTCAGCTATTGGTTCAGAGTTCATGCGTTTCCATTCGTTTGGCTAATTGTCCCTGTGCTTTTTCCAATCTTGGTCTCAACAATTCTTGCTCATACAAACCCGCCTCTTTCTCACCACTTGGACTCCTGGAGCTCCACCTGGGACCTGGCCATGGATCTCTGCATCCAGTTCCCTCAGTCATTGGATGAGGTTTCTAGCACGACAATTAGGGTGTTCGGCCATTCTGTCACCAGAGTAGGTCACAAGAACAGAGAGGGAGAACAAGGAATAAGAGACCATGATAAATGAAGACCACATGAGAATAGGAAAAAGCAAAGTGCTAGAGAGGTCCACAGAAATCCACAAAGATACCTCCACAATAGACTACTGGCAATGGTCGAGAGTAACTTCTTTCTAAAGCTTTCAGTCCACCACAGAACTCACCCTGTCTCTTAGAAGCATCTAAATTACAATTTTGGCTCAAGTTAGGAAAGGGGTTTTTTTTAATGTTATTGTTATTTTAATCAATATTCAGCTTTCAATTGCACAAATTTGGAGTTCATCATTTGCCTTAGTTTCATTTTATAAATTATCTATCAGTTTTTCATTTTAGGACATGTTTCTTTCCTATGAACTTGTGTTTATTGTGATCATTACTCTGGAATTTACCATGATGGGTCTTGGAAAAGAAGCATCTTTTTTTTTTTTTTTTGCACCAGATATCCCTCAACCCCTCCCCACTCACCTTCCCAATTCTGGCTCAGCCAGCTGGTTACCATGGGAAGAGAAGAGGTGACTACCAGGTCTGGAGAGAGACACTAGGATTCAGGCCCACATCATGGGGGCAGAAAGAAGTTATTCCACGCCTTAATCACAAAGTTTACCCAATCCGTGCTACTCTCCAGATGTTATATTCATGGATATAAATTTTGATAGTGTACAGGAAGGAAGTCCAAATATGCTTAACTAAAAAAGTTTTGAAAATATTCTGAAATAAACCAGGATGCAGAATATGCCACAGACAGCAAGAACAACACATCTGAGTTGAAAAACAAACTCACAATTGTGCTCAGAGCTAAAGATTAGAATGCCTTAGTTAGAAACATACTCAATATGAGTTATGATGCATAAGAACTTTGCAGTTTGCTATTTCCAATATCCCATCAGGTAGCTTCTACTATCCCTGCACACCTTTCCTTTATTTATTTTTCATCATTTCTTTGAACAGAGAAGCTACAATGTAAAAATATGAAGAATTCAACTCTCCATTAAACAGGCGAATGACTCAAACACGTTTCCCCCCTTGATGTTTAGTATCAAGGATATTGTTATGCTGTTTTGTTGAGTTATTTTTTATGTTGATTGATATCATACTTACTAATTGAGCACATTGAAACCTAACGTGTAGCAATTTTGTGAAGTCAAAATTTGCCGAAAGGATCCTGAATGTCTTTAAAGAAACCAAAAGCAGCAGTACAAATGGGCCGCACGATCGTGGGGAACTAGTTAATAAGACTGATCCGGTTTATTTTCCATCTCTGCTTCTACCATACAGCCCCCTCATCACTGAGCCCTCGCTGGTTATGCCACTCCAGTTCACGAGATGGAGAGGCCAGTTAGTGTGAGCTGTACTCACCTTAGTTTTAGTACCTAAAACCCCAAAGAATTTTACTCACATTTATTTGTAAAATAACAGGTTATAGATTTAAATCAAAGGCATTGACTGGGTATAGGTCATTGTCAATTTTCTAGCAGTCATGAATTCATTCCCTTAGGTTAAGGATATCTTGAGAATGCTCTCTGCATCCTGACACTGTCTTAGGTACTAGGGATATGGCAACAAGAGAGATAGAAAGGATCTTCCATTCTCTTGAGCAGGGAGAGGCACACAATACGTAAGTTAAAATTTATGATAAATATCTTATATGCAAGTACACATAGAAGTTAAATATAGTACACAGTCATACATTTAATACTACCAACTTAAAACGTAATAAGTGATGGGATAGCAGAGTATAGGGCAACATTAGATAGAGATTTAGGGGAGGATGTCTGTTAAATTAAATGTGACTATAGACCCAGGTGACAAGAATAAACCAGCTATCAAAAATCACAGAAAACACTAGGACGTGGTTGTGTTAGAGCACCTGTCTAGCATGTGTGGGTTGTGAATTCAGTCTCCAGCACTATCAAAGTACAAAGCAGAGAAGATGTAAGGTATGTATATATATATATATATATATAAAAGATGTGAGAATATTAGACAGCCAGGACAGCTAGAATCTAGTAAGCAAATAGGAAAGAGATGGGTGGGTTAAAGACAGCAAAATAGGGACTGAAAATATGTAGGGAAGGTTCTACAAGGCATTTGAATGTTACTCAAAATGGAAAAAAGTTTTAGCCCGAGGGAGGATGCTATGATTTGCCATAGTTGGGCAGGGTGCCCCTTGGGTTATGTTTTAATTTGACTGATGTTGCCGAAGCCAGAGGGCTGCAGAATGAAAAGGAGTATTTTCCCATGGGAGACATGGTTCTGGGCAGATAAAGAAAGGCACGGTTTTTTTTTTTCTTCCCCAGTCTGTTGGGGCACCTCTGTTAGAAATGCCCTCAGCAGTTCATCCCCACGTACTGTCAATCACTGTAATAACCTTTCCTGCAAATCCAGCCCCATTCTAACCTTTTTCTATAAATTTACAGTATTTCAGACATTTCTAATCTTCTTTGTAATTATAAGGGTATTCAAAGGAACTGGCTCAGTTGGAATGTGATCCAGTATTAGTAAATTGTCTTTGCTGTGCTGATTTAAGCATTGATCACCTGGTGGCGAATACTTCCTTGAATGCTGCACATTGCTTGGAGGCACAGGTTTCCAGTCTGATGCACTAAGCTTTGTGTTTTCAAATTTCCCGTCTTCCAAGTTTTGTTATTTGCCATGCTTATTTTCAGTTTTCTTACCAAAAACATGCTTGCATCCTGAGGGTGTTTGCTAGATGGGTAGCAAGGAGCATCACTCAGCTATAAACGAAAGTCAAACTGGCTGGGGGGGGCGGGGGGGGGGGGGATGCCAGCAGAAAAGAGATACTTAGAGAGCAGAAAGCAAAAGAAAACTACAACAGGCAACAGGCAGATAGCAATCGTATCCAACCCCAAAGGAATGACCCAAAGGGTTGTCGAATCGCAGCAGAAGAATTAATGAGAGGGAAAATTTCTCAAGGAAAAAGAGCCAAGTATAGATAAAGGAAGAAATAAACATCATAAAGGAAAAAAAAAAAACAACATAGAGAAAGAAAAAAAATAAAGCCCCAAGAGCAAGGTGAAAGAGTGAAACAAAAGAAGAGACCTGAAGAAGTGGACATTGCATTAAAGCAAATGTATTCTGTTGTCTTTTTCTTATCGGTGGCTGGCTTCGCACGACTCGAGCGGCAAAGCCAACCTGAAAGGATAATTTTGTTTATGTACCCAATTTGCATAATTGTGCAATATAAATTACAATGCTAATTAAGGACAGCCCTTGGGCTGCTGGAACTGGGTCAAAGTGTTTCCCTAAGTGCAGAGAGGTTGGGGCATTGGCTCTGTCCCCTGTCCCACTGCAGGAGAGCCAAACAAGAGAAAAGAACCTTTCTGATAGGGTGCGAATTCTTGTCAGAATTTGTTGTAGAATTGTATGTCTCACTCTCAAACGTGGCTTTTCAAATAGTCTTTGTATGAACCTGAAATGATGTTCCTAAAATGAAAAATTTCTCCTAAACGTTCTTGCTTATCTTTCTATAATATTTCCCTGTCTCAGTTTGATTTTTTTTTTTTATTTAGGGAACTAAAATATGAAATTGTGAACAAGTGAACATGAACCTGGCATACAGTATTTTCTCACGGAACCCTTGCCAGATTGTCTGAAACCAGAATATGGTATGCCCTGCTTTGGCCTTCGTGAGGCAGAGAGACAGACACCAGGCTCACATCTGAGCTTCAGTTAAACCGATATCATTAAAGCTAAGTAAACATTAGAAATTCAGACCCAGAGTTTATCTCTTCTACCATCCCTAAGAAGGAGAAGATTCGTGGAATAACTGGCTTGGGTCTTTCAAAGTAAGATAGTCTCTGAGTTCACATAGTGAAGTCTGATGGAACACAGTGGAAGGCCTTGGGAAAGGCCTCTCCAGAAACAGTCTTTTGGAGGCTTTGATAGTCACTGAATTCTGACCTCAAGCAGAGGTTATATGCAAAATAGGAAAAAAGCACATATCCATCACTCAGGAGGATCAGAATGAACAATTGTGTTGTGGAGGAGGCTAAATATTCCATCTAAGGCTTCCATTCTATTTCTTATGCCCCATAGTCTCAAAATGTGTGTGGTTCTTAAGGGATTGATTCCCTACCTAACTTGATTGGTAGTCTAATTGATAGTTAAGAACTCTGGTTGTATAGACCTGATTTCAATTTTAACATGCTAGGAGTTTCTTTTGTGGGGACCATTGTAGGAATAATTGGATATATGTAATGTCTTTTCTACCCTTGTGTTATTTCATATTCTTACCAGCGCTCTAGCAACTATTTTCCAAACATTTTTAGGCCCACTTATATAAAGAAAAATATATTTATTATAAATAACACTGGAGTTATTGGTGTTAGCAGTGAGTCCTTTGAGAGGTGATTAGGAGATGGAGCAGTGACCTCATGAATGAGATTAGTGTCCTAATGAAAGATGCCCACAGAATTAAATGTTACCTTCATGTGTACAGATGGACCAGTCTGGGGTTTAATTCCATGCCTGACAACACAGATTATTATTCATGTAAAATTTTCTAAAATGTGTAAATAGCTCACATTCAAAATTTTTTTATATTTAGCAAGCCCAAAGAAGCTTGCTGTCTCTCCATAATGGATATGCATGGCTCACAGGAATGTGTGAAGTTCCCAGGAACATCCTGATCTCCACTGGTTTTCTGTTTGGATATTTTTCTGACAGTTTTACTAATTTTCCATTCTGTAATTGTGTTGGCTATACTAATTCATTCATAATTGCATTCATCATGCATTTTTAGTCTTGAACAGTCACTTACATTATGTGCACGTACGTCTGTTATTTGCTTGTTAAAAATATTAACTACCAGGCAGTTTTCAAGACATTAAGGAAACAATGGCTACAAGAGATGAGCTAACGTAAGTGAAATAAACTCTAATTTCTGGAAGGAAGGAGCTGGAACATGTGTGGTTGACTCTGTTCTTCATGGAGTGCTGGAAACATGAGTAAATTCTGAACTGGCAAGTTCTGGAATATTAAAATGTGTGTTATAGTAAAGGAAATATGCTGTGGGATGTTCTGTATGGCAAATGTGTTGCTGATTAGTCAATAAATAAAACACTGATTGGCCATTGGCTAGGCAGGAAGTGTAGGCAGGACAAGGAGGAGAATAAAGCTGGGAAGTAGAAGGCTGAGTCAGAGAGACACTGCCAGCCGCCACGATGACAAACAGCATGTGAAGATGCCGGTAAGCCACGAGCCACGTGGCAAGGTATAGATTAATGGAAATGGATTAATTTAAGCTGTAAGAACAGTTAGCAAGAAGCCTGCCATGGCCATACAGTTTGTAAGCAATATAAGTCTCTGTGTTTACTTGGTTGGGTCTGAGCGGCTGTGGGACTAGCAGGTGAGAGAGATTTACCCTGACTGTGGGCCAGGCAGGAAAACTTAAGCTACAGAAATAATATAGAAAGTTTAAGATTTTCAGTGCTGAAGTTAAGTTTCAAGACATTCCAGTACAACTGCTGAGTCTTTAGGTGAGAGAGAGAATTGTTTCAGCAACTCAAAACTGGTCAAAATGCATTTACATGGTAAACCGCCAGTGGGGATGCGTAGGGAGTATTAGAAAGAACACAAAGGACAAGTGAAAAGAAAAACAGGTTTTGGGGTTTACTTTGATTACCTAGCTGTTGTGTGACTAGGGAAGTTTAGTGTCTGTAGCTAGAGTTTTCCTGCCTGGCCCACAGTCAAGACAAATCTCTGTCACCCGCCAGTCCCACAGCTGCTCAGACCCAACCAAGTAAACACAGAGACTTATATTGCTTACAAACTATATAGCTGTGCCAGGCTTCTTGCTAACTGTTCTTATATCTTAAATTAATCCATTTCTATAAATCTATACCTTGCCACGTGGCTCATGGCTTACCGGCATCTTCACATGCTGCTTGTCATGGCGGCGGCTGGCAGTGTCTCCCTCAGCCTTCCACTTTCCAGAATTCTCCTCTCTCCTTGTCCCGCCTATACTTCCTGCCTGGCCACTGGCCAATCAGTGTTTTATTTATACAGACCGATATCCACAGCATAGTGTCCCACACCAAAAGGCACTCATTTAATCTTGGAGGGATGTTTTAAGAAGCAAAATGATGGGATGGTAATTGAAAGTACTCTAATACCTTTTCCTAACTATGTAATGTTTTCTGGCAGAAAGGATTCAGTTTGGAGGTAGTGCCTAGAGCTGAAAGGTGGAGACGAAGAATGGGAGAGAGAAGCAGTCCTTCCTGCTCCACAATTAATAAGAACTGTACTGAAGACTCCCTCCCCCAAGTACAAAATGAGGGTAAATGCTTCAATAATATGCATTTCAAAGACTCAGGAGCTAGCTCAGGTAGCAGTGTTTGTTTGCCACATACATATGATGAACTGAGAGTGATACCTGAAGTTCAGGGAAAGTTCCAGGTCCAATGAGACACTGTCAGAACAAACAGGGCAGCATCTGAGGAATGACATCAGACATTGACCTCTAACTTACTCCCACACCATGCAGATACATATATGTGTCCACACTCCCACCCATACACCCTTCTTACCCCTCAACAAAGAATACATACTTTGACTATCAAGAAATTCAACCACATATCACAGGACATTTTCAGTTTGGACCATCATTCCATGGTACATGCAATTCGAAGTAGCTAACTCGTTCTCAAATACCTGTACCAGAAACAAATAGGAGTTTTATATCTTAAGATTGACATGGAAAACAGCATATTTGAAAAATAACGACTTTTTATATCACATGTTTGCTATTTGTTTTTAGCAGGCACAAACATATTGTGTTGTGTTCTGTATTTATGAAACTCATAACAAACTGTGAAGAGATAACAGAATGCATTTTACATGAGCTGAAGCAGTAGATCAAATATTTCGTTAAAATCAAGACTTCTGTTATTATGAATAAACTTAAATATTACTGAAAGCATCTTTCTCGACACTTTTAATTATTATGGTTATATAACACATATGATATTATTTTGTTAAAATATAGTTCACATCTATGATAGTATTATCATATAACTTAGGTGCATAAACATGTCATAGCATGTGAGTATGTGGAAGCACTTATGTGTGATTTTCACATAATGACAACCTGACAATGCATTTCTCAAGATGTCTATAATTAATAAATGCACAGCTATATTACATTACTATGTATTACTTATTTATAAGTAATTGTATTTATTTTTCATTTTATTTAGAGGGAAGAAAATAGACTAGAAATGACTAAACAAGGGTGCTGATCCTGATTTGGGTATAATGTGTTTGTCTTCCTAGTATCCTTCTCCTGATAGAATTGCTTCTTCCATCCTGCAATGCTCTAATTTGAGCACATCCTCCTCAATTTTAATGTGTGCTCATCTGCCTATGTTTATATCAGAGAATAAGCTATTTGGTTTTATCCTTGATACCTTTAGTACTCACCCAACACAGTGATGATGCTTAATAAATATTGATGAACATACATTAAATAAAATTGACTATTAACTTTTAGTAGTTCTCTAAAAATGGTGCACAGCTAGTTAAACTCATAACAAGTCTTTAAAATTTCTAGTAAGATTAAACATTAATAAGAACTTCAAAAATGCTCAGTGCTTGCTTAGAGGCATAGAAACCCAAGAACATAGTGCATGTGTTGTTATAGTCCTCAAAGTAAAGACTATTGAGATTATTCATAGAAGCTGATAATAAGTTAGCAAATTTCAGTATGCATATAGAATTTGGAGAGTAAATGGAAGCCACGATAGATCTTGTCCGTGTTAATCACATACATAATATGAACTGTTGTACTTACTCAGTGCTAACACAGCACTGAATGAACAGCTGTGTCAATCTTGTAGCAATGTGGCCACCCGACACCTTGTTTTGGTAGCCTATAGTGGAAATGAATTTAGCCATATGACCCAGTTCTTGACAGTGGAATCCTCCAGATGTGCAGCCTGCAGGAACGTTATTTAAATAAAAGAAAAGAAGAAGAAGAAGAAGAAGGAGAAGGAGAAGGAGAAGGAGAAGGAGAAGGAGAAGGAGAAGGAGAAGGAGAAGGAGAAGGAGAAGGAGAAGGAGAAGGAGAAGGAGAAGGAGAAGGAGAAGGAGAAGAAGAAGAAGAAGAAGAAGAAGAAGAAGAAGAAGAAGAAGAAGAAGAAGAAGAAGAAGAAGAAGAAGAAGAAGAAGAAGAAGAAGAAAACACCTAAGGAATGGTCTCTTAGTACCATTACCATCAGCCCAGACAATTAGATGTCTGGAGGAGCAATCACCTTGCAATCATGGGGTAGGTTTCAAAAAGAAAAAAAAAAAAACCCCACACACAAGAAACCTAGACCTTGGTTCTCAATTTCTGCGGTAAGCCCATCAAAAATCCTGACTTTTGTTTCCTATATTTTGTTTATTTAGTAAATTAACTTATTCTTTATATATATTTTGTGTACACACACATGAGTGAAAGCTATGATGCCCATGTGGAGGTCAGAGCACAATCTGTGGAAATTTGTTCTCTCTTTCCAGCATGGAGGTTCCACAGATCAAATTTCCATCACCAGCCTTGTGGGCAAAGCACTCTGCTCTTTCTCCGAGCCATCGTGCCAGCCCCACACTGGATTTTTTAAGTTTTGCTGTCTGCTGGATTTTCACGAAATCAAGCACAAACATAATACATTTTTCATTTCAGGAAAAGTAAACCTGACTCTGGCAGTCTGTGAGATCCATGCATGACTCCCATCCCACCAAAGCAATCGCATCTCAGCCACAGTACAAAAGAATTATCCTGACTGACATATGGTATTTGAAATATTTCATCTGTTGTTGTTGTTTTTTTCTCAATTGTTTGCTGAAACATGAGAATCGAGTTCAGAAAAGTTGTCTCAAAGTCAGGAATGCACTCGTTGTGGATATTGGCTGATAAATGTAATGATTTGTGTCTCTGACTTCGGCAAAACCTGAATGCAAAACATCTCTCCACAATACTGACTCAATTAAATTTTTTTCTTTCTGGGTGTGATTTGTATTGCAGAGGCAAATCAAGAAACATTGACAACTTGCTTAAATCTTGCTCTTTGTCCTATTTATATAATTTATTGTGCCAGTGGTTCTGAGGTGGTGGCTCCTGCACCTCCTCACCCATGAACACATCCCAGATGTGCTGAAAATTCCCCATTAATTTGTGTATTTCATTCCATTCTTTTGTAATTAAGTGCATATGGTTTTGACTAGAAGAAAAAAAAACTATTTAATCCCAGAGGGTTTTTTGTCCTTGTGCATAATTGATTCATGTCTTTTTCAACTCCACCCCTGCTTTTAAATAGATATTATGAAAGAAATCCCTGCTTTGTAAATTTTGCTGATCCAGACACGAGAAAGGACAATCCATTACTCTCAAGATTTCTTCAGGATCTGTGGACCATTCAATCTCTTAAAAAAAAAATTACCTCATTAAGAGTCATAGGGTCATAGAAGAGGTTCCATTGCTGATTTTCAAAACTGGAACTTAGCCTTAAAGCAGAAAGCAGCAATCTCCCTAGTGGTATTTACCTAGAGAGGTCCTATCTGCTGTTACTGGATTTCAGAACTAGAAGCCAGGGCCCTGCCACCTAGGTTGTGGAATAGGAGAGAAGTTTAGATCCTCTTACTGTATGGGTAGCTATGATCAGGTAAGTTGTTTATCTTTTGTTAATTACAATTCACTGATGCTTCTTTTTATGAATTATAGTTCACTGTCTCTGAGGAGAGTGTTTGTACCTATGATTGGGATATACATGTACATGTGTGTGAACATGTATATGTTAAATTCATTAGCACAGACACTGCATAACTGGAAAGAATGAGAGGAAATATTTTTACTGCAGAACTATAGTTTAGTTCAGTTTCCTGGTGTTCTCACACTACTAAGAAGCATAAAACATGGAAGAAAAAGTAGATTTGATAGGTTCTTCTGCATCTAGGTTTCTTGGTGAAATCAGATTTGAGCAGTCTTGTTACAGGGTGCATGGAAAGGGAAGAAAGGATCTCACGGCTGGCTGTGTCTAGTACATTTTCTGGCACATACTTTATATGTAATCTACTGTTCGCATTTCAAGTATGTAGTTTCATAAGTTTATCATATTTATAAATCTGTATTACTATCAACAATACCAAGGTGAACAAATGAATCCTTTTGTCTCTTTCCAGACAATGTCCAACCCCGGTACTGGACCATTGACTTGCTCTTTATTACTGTATCCTTTGTTTACTGCTGTATTTACTTTGTATTTAATGCTCAACCAAACATCTACTTATATACTACCATAAAGGGATAGTTTTCAGGTGCAGTTTACAGTCCTTAATATTTTAAGTTTGAGCAATTTTTGCAGGTAAAGAAATGAACATTTAGAAAGAATTAGAGCTATTCAAAGCCCAGGAGACATGTTCTTGTTAGTTTTTAAAGAGAGTAATTCCAAGTTATAGAGAAGTCCATGTGGCAAGACACCCTACCTATGCTTTAGGAGCTGAGGGCAACCACAAGAGAAAACCACAAGAAAGCTGGAACTTCAGTGTCACAGGACAAGGAGTTGAATTCTCGCAACAAGTGTGTGAACTTAGACATGTCATCTGAGTTTCAGATGACAGTATAACCCAGGCCTAACCCAGAATGCAATGTGGTTACACCTGTGCAGTGAATTGTTACGTCATGCCCGGGCTGTCGACTTATTGAACTCTCACTTAATAAATGAACCAACTTCATTTTAAGTTGGGAAATTTGTGGTGACTTTTCCTGTTATAAAGCTGACAAATTCATCACTGAATCATTCTTTATAGTTGGTGAGTATATCTATTACTTCCCAACATTATTAGCACCATAATGTTTTAAAGAATGAACATTTTATTATATCATAGTGACTGGGAGGTGGCCAGGGATCTGGGTGTGGTTTCTGTGTGTTCCTTGATGGAGGCTTTCTCACAAGCCACTGAACGTAAGAAGAGTCCACATTTAGCCTCACTAGATTGGTTGTTGGTAGCACTCAGTCACTTAGAGGTTGTTCTGTCGATGGCCCTAGATGGCCGTTGGCTGTTCACCAAAGCCCAGCTTAAGTGTGTGGTTTGTGAGTCTCTTCATAACAGTCAGCAAAGGAGAGCAAATATCTGCTGAGAAGATATTACAATTTCTAGTAACAATTACAGAATTGATATCTCCAAACAAACAGGCATTTTAATTTCCTAGAAACCACTTAGAGATGGTTAACACAAGTCTGTGAGTGTCAAGCAGCTGGGATCTCCAAGTCTGACTTTTAGAAACTAAATTGTTAAATGCAGTATTTCACTGTAAGATTTCCATTATCTGCTTGTGGTGGTTGGAATAAAAATGTCTCCCCATAGGTTCATAAGGAGTGGCACTATTAGGAAGTGTGGATGTTGGAGTAGGGTGACCTTGTTGGAGGAAGTGTGTCACTAGGGGCAAGATGAAAGGTCTCATAAGCTCAAGCCAGGCTTAGTGGCTCATTCTCTTCCTGCTGCCTGTGGATACAGATGTAGAACTCCCAGCTACCTCTCCAGCACCATGTCTGCCTCCATGCCACCATACTCCCCACCATGATGATGTACTTAACCTCTAAACCTGTATGCCATCCCCAATTAAATGTTTTCCTTTACAAGATGCCATGGTCATGCTGTCTCTTCACAGCAATAAAACTCTAAGATACCATTTAATGTTAGAAATTTGACTTTATTTGATTTGACAATTTATAAAAATACTCACAAAAGCTGCTGCAAAGAATTTTCAAGGAGAAGTTGTATGTGGACATATATTTTCTCTTCAATGGAATTGCAATGTAACACAGGAAATATAAGTTCAATTTTCTAAGAAGTATGGTGATATTTTATTTGTGCTGAAATGTGATTTTATTTGTATGTTAATAAGTAAAAGTGCCTGGGGGTCAGAGCTAATAGCAAGTCATAACAGAAGTCTGGCAGTGGTAGCACACACCCTTAATCCCGATCACATGACAGGCAGATCTCTGTGTGTTCAAGGATACAGCCAGCATGGATACACACGCCTTTAATCTCAATACCAACCATAGAGACCTAGAGGTCTGTATAGACAGGCAGTGACAAGGAGGTCATGTGGTTGGGTTTACAACCAATGAGAAGGCAGAACAGAAAGTCAATAAAAAGACAGACATACAGGAAGTAGGTCTCTTTCTCAGGGGAAGGATGGCAGTGGCAGCAGGTGGTAAGAAGGTGGTCTCAGCTTTTGGCTACTGCTCTTGGATCTCTGGGTTTTTAACTCTGCGTTTGGCTCTGTTTTCTTATTTAATAAATCTGTTCAGAATTATATCTACAAAGAAGTTTCTTAAAGTACTTTCCAAAGTGATTTTATGGTTTCATATTCCCAGAATATTATCCTGTTGCTCTTATCTCCATAAGCACTGGACATCATCAGTCATTTTAACTGTAGGCATATGGAAGTGTGTAGAATAATACTGATAAACATATTAAGAATGCCCTTCAGGGACTAATTATCTTAAGCACTAAACCCAGTTCACATATCTACCTTTATGAAATACCTGCCTAACAAGGTTGTCCATTAGGATTGTTTTGCTTTTAATGATGGAGTTATAGAATTCTGCATTTTGAAAACTCTTTATCATTCATATGTATTATAAGTATTATTGCCCAGCCTATGCCTTGTATTTTTACAGTTTTACATTGTCTATCAACAGAGTAGATTTTATGTCCTCAATATCCATTGTATACAGTTTCTTACTGTGACTAATGTTTTGTAAGCTGTATCTGAAAGTATCAGATTATTGTACTAAAATCAACAATAGTCTATAATTCAAGTATTTAGTTTATGTCTTTGATCTACTCTGTTTTAATTTTTCTATATACTTAATATAAGGATCAATATTTGATTTCTTTATTGATATGCACTTTAAATTTTTCAGGGTCATTTGTTGAAAGACCCTCTATTTTCTATTAATTTTGTTTTCTTTAAACTTTTCTATCTAAAATAAAATGACTATAAATGCGTGGCTTATTTTTAACTAGCATGTGCCCTTGATTTTATGTAGTCCTTTATGTGAATATCATTGTCTTAATTACTCTAGATTTACAGAAAACCTTGGAATTCAATTTAAGAAATCCAACATGACTCTCTCTCTCTCTCTCTCTCTCTCTCTCTCTCTCTCTCTCTCTCTTTGAGACAGGGTTTCTCTGTGTAGCCTTGGCTGTCCTGGATCTCACTCTGTAGACCAGGCTGGCCTCGAACTCACAGAGATCCGCCTGGCTCTGCCTCCTGAGTACTGGGATTAAAGGCGTGCGCCACCACCACCCGGCACCAACATGACTCACTTTATGACTCTCTTAACCAGTTGTTTAGCTTATTCTAGGCCATTTGTATTCTCTAAATATTATAAAAATTATATTGTTAATCTTCCTTTAAAAATGTTGCCTGCAACAATTTTAAATGGGTTTGTATGGATTCTATTGATCAAGTTTTGGAGAATAAGTAATTGTTAACTGACTACCATTGCTATAGCTACCATGTTCTTGGACAGTATATCTAATTTAGCTCTGAGTCTAAGAACACATTAGCTCCAGTTTTTAGATTCTCCTTTATTTCTCTGAATATTTTATATCTTCATGGTGCAAATACTGCAGTTTCTTAAACTGTGGTCTTTTGCAGTTTTGGTTGTAATTGTGATTACTTAAAACGATTTTTCTATTGCTCACTGCTAGTACATAGAAAAGTAATTCAGTTTTGTATTGATCTTACGCCTTTGTGTTGTGGTTGGTTATATATTTCAATAGCTTCTATGTGGATTCATTAGGAACTTCTATATACATAATCATGTGACTTCATGATTAATTACTTCTTGATGTCACGTGTGTGCTTTCAATTCATTTTATTTTCCTTCACTAGTATTAATGAGGAGTGCTCAGTGTAAGGATATTTATTGTGTGCCTAATGTTGGTCTTTAAACCAACTATCATCTTAGAGGCTGGTCCTTTCTGTCCCTAGAGTACTGATATATTTTACTATAAATGCAAGTTGAATTTTCTCAAATCCTATCACTCAAATCCTTCTTCTGCTTTTTGTTTTGATAATGTGGTGAGTATCATGATTGGCATTCAAAAGTTAAGTCATAGATTCTTGAGAAAACCCCTTGTGGTCACTATATTCCCTTTTAAAAGATTTACAGGATTAACTTGCTAATATTTGTTGCTGATTTCTGAACCTATTCTCATGAAAAAAATATGTCTGTGTTTTCCTTATACCATTTTCAATAATGGAAATGCTAACTTCATGAAATGAATAAAGGAATATTCCTTTCTCCTTCAATTTCCTCAAATAGTTTGCGTAAGACTGGTGATATTTTCCTGAAGATTCATGGATAGAGCTGACTGATCTACATATATTTTCATGTTTAAAATATATTTCCAATTTTTAAATTAATGTGGGTTCATTCAAGTATTCTATTTCTTTTTTAGAAAGTTGGTTAAGTTTCACATCATTAGATTAAAACTGTCACACTATTCTCTTATTGACATTCAATATAGGTAGAATTTAAATTGATATTTCTCTTTTCATTCTTTAAAAAATATATTACATTTTTATACCTTGTGTAAGAGAAAGAAATAGAGAGAGAGAATGAATGAATGAGAATCAGGTGCTACAATCTATGTGTGGAGGTTATTTCTCTGCCTAAATTCCTCCTCTTGAAACTCTAAATCTCAATAGATTTCCTAAATTCCAGTCTCTATTTAACTTATAGAGACAGTCTTAATGGGTGGAGACTCTTGCCCTGCCTATCCCAGGCTTTGGAATGTAACTCTATCTAGAAATCTAGAACCATGTTGAAGTTCATTTCAAGTGGTTTCCCTCCCTCTGTACTGCCCTGACTATTTTCCAATGTATATATTTTTTATAAAAATAGATGTCTTTTGGCCAGGTTTCTAAAGATAAAGGCAGTTCTTTTATTTTATAACGAAATCAGATACTTAGGCCTATTCCTCCTCATCTTCTACCTTCTGCCCTTCTTTCTCCTCTTCTCTATCTATCATCTATCTATCTATCTTTCTGTCTATTTATTTATTACTTATTCCTCCCACTTCTACTCCTGACAAGAATGCTTTTGAAGCCCGTGGTGCTTTCAAATGCTCCATTATTGCATTAATGGGTTTTGAGCTTTGACTACTATTAAGAGTTCTCCAAAGCAATGAAATAAAATGAAGAGAAAATCAGAGGAGGTCGGGGGGAAGGAGGGAAGAGGGAAAAGGGAGGGATGGAAATGACAGATGGAATTATGAGGGGATGTATTAGATTCACTTACATGATAAGAGGCCAAATCGTTCAGTGATGGCTGTCTGCAGGCTGGAGAGCTCTCTGGAAACCAGTCCCACTCAGTCAAAGAAGCTGAAAGTCACAAAAGAACAGCTGCTTACGGTGCATCTCCAATTCAAGTCAAGAGGCTGAAAGGCTTTTAGGGAGTCATTAGTCCTGGTCCCTGTTCAGAGGATGGAGCTGATGGTCACAGGCATTGGAAGTAGCAAAAACTGAAGCTGCTGAAAGAAGAGTAGAATGTGTTTGAAATTCTTCCTTCCTCCACCCTGTGCTTCATTCATGCTCTCAGCCTGCTCCATCAATCCTACCCACGCTGGGGGTGAATCTTTCTCGTGGAGTTGATGGACCCACCTGCCAGTCTTCTCCACAAACACCATCATAGCCATCACAGGAGTGAGCTTTGCCAGTTTAGCTGGCATCTCTCCAAAATTAACCCTCACATCTAGATATAGGACACTTACTCTGTGTGTGCGTGTGTGCGTGCGTGCGTGCGTGCATGCGCGCGCGTGTGTGTGTGTGTGTGTGTGTGTGTGTGTGTGTGTGTGTGTGTATAAAACATATCACTTGCGGTACAATGGCTTCTGAAACTCTAGATAAGGCCAAAATGGTAAGTTATTACTGTTATTTTAATAAATCTTGTTTCTGTTTGGTTATATTGTAAAAATGGAAATTTTATGACATCCATGATTCTCTAAACTTCCTCAGAGAACATTACCATAGTCTGAATATTTATGTCTCAATGAAGTGTGGTCCTAATTAATCTTAATAATAAAAAACCAGAGTCAGATATTGAGGGTGGAAGCTGAAAGATCAGAGAAGCAGAGCAGCCAGCCACCAAAGACTTCTTAGCTCTACGAAATCTCACACCAAAGGGGGCCCTGTCTCTATGAATCCTCAGACTGAGTGAGCAGATCCTGTCTCCACCCACCTTATACTCCTCTCTCCACCTCGCTAGTGTGGGGATCAAAAGCATGGTCCTCCCAAGTGCTGGGATAAAAGGTGAGAGCCACCACAGCCTTTTTCTCTTTCAGACTCAGGTTCAATCTCCTGCAGCCCAGGGTGACCTTGAACTCCTGATCTTCCTACTTCCTCCTCCCAAGTGCTGAGATTAAAAGTGTGTGCCACCACTGCTTCTCACCCAGAAAGAAAAGTCATTGTCAGGTGATAGTGGCTGGACATTCATGAATTTGATTAGTGCCAAAAAAGAGGCCCAGGACACCTCTTACTTCATTCACCATGTGGAGACCCGCAGTTCATAGTCATTTATGAACCTGGTATACAGGCCTTCAGCAGATGTCCAATCTGCTTCTGTCTTGATTTTGGTAAGAAATGAATGCCTGTTTATCAGTCAGCTGGTTGATGGCATTTTGTGATGGCGTCCTGGGAAGGTTGAGAGACAGCAAGTTAACAGTTCATCTTTAAAATGTAATTATGGCTGACCACTTAGGATTGTATCGGCTCTCAGGGATCTGGAGAGAACTGATTCTTCCTCTCTCACTTGCCATGGATGGCCATTAGGTCTTCCTCAAAGGTGAAAATTAACCATCACAGAGATAAATTATAAATATACAAAACTTTAACTTGATCCAAGAGAGAAAAATAAAAGATTTCCAAAGACAGTAACTGACAGTTTATAAAAGAGTCAAGTAATGTTAGAGAAGGGCGATTTGGGGTTTCTTTTTAATCGGAAAGTTTTCATAAATACTGTTTGGGAAAGAGCTTGGATCATAATGGAGAGAATAGGAAAAAAAAAATCCAGAAAGAAACATGGGGAAATAAATCAGAATAACTTAATTGTCAGAAGAAACATGAGCCTAGTGTAGAAAGAAGAGGAAGAGGTCGTCAGTTTGGTAACTAGACAGCAGACTGTGGATTTCATGCAGGACTCTGCTAGCCCTTTGTGTCCCCGTAAAGGAAGTCCACTGGTTACCATAACAGGCTTGTGAATAAGCTTTATTCTCCTCTCCCCTCCCCTTTCAACATTGCTCCAAGATAGCCTTTCAGAATCCAGCTCTGAATAGTCTAGTCTTTGCTGACGTCATCTGCGTTTATTCGACTCCTCCCTCAAAAGCTTTGCTCTTGCCTCCTTCCTCAAAGCCAACGCTAAACATTGACGCAATCTGTATGCTGTAATTTAGATGTTCGTGCCTTCAGGTAGTAGATACTGCTGGAATACTTGTACTGTAATACCACCTGATCAGCATTCTCTTGGACTTCCAACTCAGAGCTCATTTAGATATTGATTGAATATTGTTTCATTGATAGCTGGAGTTTATATATTTCATATGAATTCAGTCTGATTCTAATGAAATTCAAAGTGTATTTATGTTTATATTTAGAAAGGATCTATTAAAACTGTGAATGAAATCATGAGTGGGATCCACACTGTGCGGAACCATAGCTTTCCTCTGGTCAAGCTCTGTGCACTTTGACTACAGAACCATTTGTTATGGGCACACAAAGGTGGGACAAGTATGAAGTGGGCTTTGATGAGAACAACTATTCTACTATGCCTATATTCACCAAGCACCATTTATGGAATATTACCCTCAGCAGTTAGATTATTCACAGGAAAACATAGATATGAAAATAGTTACTGCATGCAAGATAGCTTAATTATTTTTCTTTTAGATTTATTTATTTCAAATGTGATATGAATGTTTTACCTACATGTGTGTTTGTGCACCACACTCATGCCTGGTGCCTGCAAAGGTAAGACGAGAGCTTTAGATCCTCCCAAACTGGAATTAGGGATGCTTGTGAACTCAATGTGGGTTCTGGGAATCGAACCCAGGTCCTCTGCAGAAGGAGTAAATACTTTAAACCACTGGAACATTTCTCTAGCCCCAGAGATAACTTTAGTATTGTATCTATTCTCAATATTTCCAATACAGTCATTTCCAAAAATGAATATGAATGGGAATTAAAGCTTATCATCTCATCTCTACTTTATGTATACTTTAGCATTCTGACTCACAATAATAAAATATCACAATAATAAAATATCCTATACATGCTTTGTTTTCCAAATGTTACTCATTTAACTGGAGCTTTTAATAACATATTATCTCAAACAGCCTTAGGAGAAATATAATAACAGTGACTAGCTGTGATGGGAAAGCAATTGCAGATTGATGACAACTTAAAAATGTATAGGTCTGCTAGGAGAACTTGCTCTGGATTCTTTTTTGCTTTCAAACAACCATGACAAAAAAGAAAGGAGAAAGAGCAAACACAGATTCTGCCTAGAATGCTTCAAGCTCTTCTATGCATCCCAAAGACTGTCTGCTTCCCTCCATCACTGGACCTTCCACTTACCGGGAAAGAGCAAGCTGGCTGGCTCCTTATGGCCACTGTGTTCTGCAACATTTCCAGAGCCTGAGGAAAGAAACTTAGAGCAAAGGGTAACAGGTGTTTGGAATTGCTGTGCCTGTAGACAGATATAATAAACACAGGTATAAACGTGGTCTTTGGATGTAAGGGCTCACCCTTCTTATTTTCATGGGGATAAGAGTGGTGTCTAAATAAGCCCTGTGACTGGAGAGGATTTTAAAGAATCAGACACTATTACCAGTGTGGCTGGTGCTGTTATATCTAAGCTGGTGCAATATGTGGGATTAAGGGTTTAAAATGGGGGGGGGGGATAAATGTTTTCAGATGTCATGTTTAAAACAGAAACTGTCTGCATGCTTCTGTAAAAAGACAGAGGGAAAATATTTTGGGCTTCATGAGCTATATTTGGGGACTGATCCAAATGTAGAAGTCCATTGTTGGAGCAATAGATCATATGTTAAGTAATGGGTGGGGGTGTGCTTTAAAGGCTCATAGGTTGCTTACTCATGCTATAAATTATTAAGAGCTGCTTGAATGTGTCAGCATATCCTTATGATACCTATACTTGGGAGGCTGAGGCAAGAAGTTTACTAAGAATGTGAAGATAGCCTGATCTACAGAAGAAGTGAAACCCTGTCTTTAAAAATTATATAAAACCATCAAACAAATAAGTAAATAATTAATATACGGTACCAAAGTTGAGCCACAAAGCACAGATTTCAGTGAGTGGGCACAGAAATAACTGGTGTTGACCATTCGCTGTCAAAGAAGAAGGCCCAATTTGAACCTAGATGCTTTGTACTAATATGTATCCCTCTGATGAAAATCATCACCTTTCATGCAAAGGAAGCAACTATCTGAACTCCACAGACCTGCTAACTCCATGCTAACCACAAGCCTTCCTCCACAGCAATTTTGTTGATTTTCACAGTGTATGAAGACACAGAGAATGCACACCCAACAGAGAAGATGCTTCATGTGTCTCTTGGCACCTTGACTATTGAATATGAGCCCAATCAAAGTACGTCAGCAGTTTCAACAAAATTGAATTCTGATGGTTGCACTAAATCAGCAGTTTTCAAGTGTGGTTGATGTTGCTCCCTAAAGGACTTTTAAAAACCTGTGGAGATATCTTTCGGTCATCACAACAGGGGAAGTATTGATTTTGGTATCTTGGGACGAGACAAGGAATACTGCTGGAAGTCCCACAACACAGGGCAGTCTTTTACTCAAAACCCAAAATATCAACAGTACTGAATTTGAAAACATCTTCACCGGAGCTTAATTGACTCTTTAGAGAAATAATTTCAGGACAAATTAGGAACCTTCCTTTGGAGGATACTGGAGAGACATAAATGCAGAAAGAAAAAGGTCTCAGAACCAAGATCTTTCAGGTAGGTAGCTTTCAGAAAGAACTCTGAAAATATTTTGCTTTTCCAAAAATCAATGCAGGAAGTGAAAGCATGTCTCACAGTTTGGGATTTAAATTTGGTGACTCTCAGAATAGCATTTGAAATCCCTGCTTGGGAGACAGTCTCTTTGAATTCAGGATGATTTTCCATTTAAATTCTGTAACACCAACCCAGGATATGAAACATAAAATACAGAAACATTTAGGTTTTCTATTATTGGCATGATATAGTCTGCAAGGACATCAAGGCTGAGCAGTTACTCACCTGGCTAATGCCGAAGATTGAGACTTTGGAAGCAGTGAGCTTGAAGTATGTGGTAAAATAGGAGCATCACTCTTGTAGAGTTGGAAAGAGATTAGTGAGGCCTTGGAACTGCCTGGGAACTGTGTGCTTTTCTGTCAGGAAAGCAGGAGCTAAGAGGCAGTTGAGTTTGGGCTGACAGAATCAGGTCAAAGTGTTCTGCTCTATTTTGATGTGTCTTAATATGGAGTTCCTTAGATGCAGTTAAATCTATATGGCTCCGAATCTGGGGGAGAAAAAACACTGTACCGACACATACACACAGGGAGTTTCTTCCAGAAGCTAACTTTAGGTATGAATATTAACTCATCCAAATGATCAGGAGCTATGGAAACTTCTTGACGCTTCCAAATTATTTAATGTCTATTGAAATAGGGCATTTGAATACAGCAGTAAAACCCTCCATTGAACAAAATTGAAACCAACTAGACTAATTATTTGCAGCAATATAAGTAAAGTTTATGCTACTGGTAAAATGATGTATTGTTATGCAAAATTGAACTATAGAGTAGCTTCAGGTTTGCAGAAACCTTATCTACATAATGCAGAGTTTCAATGCATGCCATTTTCCTCTACTACTACTTTGTATTTCATGATTGACATAAGGTATATTTTTGAACCAACACTGATACACTGCTATTTTATGACTTTTAATTTTTAATGTTTGATAATTTCATACATACATATTATACAATTTTTGTCAAGTCCACTCTCTATTTCATCCCCTTCATTATCTTCCCAATAACATCTACCACTATTCCCTCCCAATTTCATATGTTCTTAAAAACATAATCCCATTGATTAGCTGCCCGGAGTGGGAGGAATTAGTCTTTCCTGGGGATGAGCTGACTTACTGATGGGGGAATGTCTTTCTGTATGCTGTGAAAATATGTTGCTCTGATTGGTTAATAAATAAAGCCATTTGGCCTATGGCAAGTCAGCTTAGAGGCAGGTGGAAAATCCAAACAGATAGAGAGGGAGGAGAAAGGCAGAGCTGAGGAGACTCTGCAGGTAGCCACCATGAGAAGCAAGATGTAAAAGTAGTGGTAAGCCACAAGCCACATGGCAAAGTACAGATTTATAGAAATGGGTTAATTTAAGATATAAGAACTAGATAATAAGAAGCCTGCCATAGCTATAGTTTAAAAATAATATTAGCCTGTGTGTCTTCATTTGGGTCCAAGCGGCTGTGGGACCAGCAGGTGAGAGAGATTTGTCCTGACCATGGGCCAGGCAGGACACAGGAAAACTTTCAGCTACATGCCAGTATGTGTAAGGTCCTTCTACTAGATTTGGGTAGCCTTTTAGAGTCACTTACTTGGAGAAAAACTGACTCTTCCTCCCCTAGAAACCATCAATTGCCAATAGTTCTTTAGTGGCATGGGTCTTTATGATCACCTCTCTACTCCATGCTGGGATTTTGTATGACTTGATCTTGGTCAAGTCTTATCCATGTTTTCCCAACCAGGGTGAGTTCATATATACAATTGTCCTGTTGTATGCTGAAAATACTGTTTTGTTGTGGTCATACACTGCTTCTGGCTCTTACAATCTTTATGCCCCATCTTCCTCTATGATTCTTAAGCCTTGAGAGAAGGAGGTGTGATACGGATGTCCCAACTATGGCTAATTACTCTACACTCTCTTGTCCTGTAGTAGAATATTATTTTAAGGAATGTTACTTTTGTTTGTGTTGCATTGGTTAAATTCTATGAAACTGTGATACTTTGCCTGTCTAAAACACCTGATGGTCTTATAAAGAACTAAATGGCCAACAGCAAGGCAGGAGAAAGGATAAGCATGGCTGACAGGCAGAGTGAATATATAGAAGGAGAAACCTGGGAAGAGAGGAAGATCTAGGAATAAGAGAGGAAGGAAGAGAACTCCAGAGACCAGCCACCCAGCTACACAACAAGCCATGGCGTAAGATTAAGATTTACAGAAGAGAGCAAGAAAAGCCCAGAGGAAAAAGGTAGACGGGATAATTTAAAGTTAAGGAAAACTGGCTAGAAACAATCCAAGCTATGGCCAGGCATTTATAATTAAGAATAAGCCTCCATGTGTGATTTGGGAGCTGGATGGAGGGTCACCCAAAATAGCCAAAAGAAAACACCAACATTTTGATGCTCAATGCGGGGCTAGATATAAAAAAAACAACCAACAACACATCCTACGGACAGTGGCTCCTGTAGGTCTCTGTGTTAGTTACCTTATTTTTTTAAAAAAAGAAGTTTATCTGAGAAGGAATGAGAGATGCAGTAAACTATAACAATAAATCATTAGGAGTTAGATAAATAACTATATTCCTTTAGCAGAATAATAGCAGATGCTTCTACCATTGGCATTAGGACTTAGCCAGCCACAGAATCTGGCCCAATTAATGGTGCAAGCCAAGCATTAGGTCTTGTGGAGAAGGCTTAAACTCCAAACAGGAAGTGGTAGGTTACTCCCATAGCACTATTGTATGAATGGGCACATCTTGTAAGGCTCATTATTATTGTAGCTCACAGGGTTCATACCTGGGTAAGACTGGTGATTGCTCTTCTCCTTCAATATCATGCACGGAACCTTCCAGCACTAAGAAACTACCCAGTAGTGGTGAAGCTTCCACGTTGGTACCAGTTAGATTTCTCCATGATCTATGACTCAAGTGTGTGGTGTCTTACTATCAAGTTCTGGAGAAAACCAAGAACAACGGCAATAATAATATTTGGGAGTATATGGGACACCACTGACCAAGATTTCCAAAAGAAGTAACTGATTCCTGACACTATGCTTCTCATTTGCTGGCCTATGGTGTTCAAGAGAGGCATCCCCCACTGCCAGTCAGTGAATAACTTCATGTGAACTCTTTTTATGTGTATATGTGCATTTTAGAAAGCTCTCACAGTATTAGTTTCCATATGAACTTTTTAAATAATAAAACAAAATATAATAAGATAACACAAAAAGTAACACATTGGAATTGAACAAAGCAAACAGAAAAAAAAAGAGCTCAAGAGAAGGCACAAGAACAGACACCCACACATGGTCCATACGTATGTTTTAAAGGTCTTTGGTGCTAATTATTCCTCCCTATACTCCTTCCTCTGCCTCCACCTGCATTTCCATTCCCCATCATCAATCCTTCTTGCTCTATTATCCTCCATTTCCTTTTCATATACATTATTGTTAATTAAAATACATATTGTATTCTTTGTTTTTTTTTTTAATCATTCTTTTCGTTTTCAAAACTCCATGTAAGACACTTCCCCGGTTGATCTTGGTGGTTACAGTTTCTATTGTTGTTTGTTTTTTGAATCATATGTTTTGGATGGTATGGAGGAGTTTTGGTCAAGTATTTTGTCCCTCAGTTCAAGTTTTCTGATATTTCTGTCACAATTAAACTGGAAATGTGTGTTTAGTGAGGAATTCCATGGACATGAAGTTCCTAGTACAACATATCAAAGTTACCTGGTATCAACTTGATGTATCTTGATTTTATTTTAATTTTGATTTTAATTATTTTAAAATTTATTTAATTATTATTTTATTTTAATTTTTGCTACCCTGATGTAGTATACCTAATTCTATTTTAAATTAAACTTTATTTATGTATTAAATGTCACATGCTATATAAGTGGTTTGCAAGAACATTCATGTAACATTCTATTTTCCTTTTGAAAAAAAATCAATTTTCATGAAAAAAAGTCATATGTTTTCGATGAAGATGTATACATCTCAGAAATGTATATCAGTCAGTCCCACCTTGTGCTAACATAATGGAATGTACATACACAAGAATGAGATGCACAGGGTTGGCTGATGGTAGTATAACATATTTTCACGTCATCTTAAATCCAGCTGTAATTTTAAAGATAAATATGAGAAGAAAACTACACAACACAGCTCTCAAATAAATACAACCATAAACCAAAAAATTAACAATGAGATTTGTATAAATTTTATAATTTTACACATGAAAACACAACAGAGCTAAGGTGAAACAAATATTTTGTTTTAATAAGTCTTACTCATGTACTAATGATTCCACCTAGATTATTATCAATATACATTCATATACCACATGCCAGGGATTGATCTAAAACAGACTGACTTTGGGTTTTAAAAATTAATTAACAGTATAGATAAATACTAAGACTAATCAGTAGCCACAGTCTTTGCAACAGACAAGGCAAATTCAAGGGCAAACAATATTAACCACACCACAGTTTGTTTTGGCTGCTGTAACAAAATAAAATATACTAAGTATTTTAACAAAATAGAAATTCATTGTGGTTTCAGAGGCTACAATCCAAGATCAAGGCTCAAATTCATTATGTGGTAAGGGTGGGTGGGTGTCTTGGGTCATGGATGACACTTTTTCTCTGGTGGAAAGAGATAATAAGCTCCCTAGGGCCTCTTTTCTAAGGACACTAATCCCATTTATTTGGGCTATGCCCTTATGATCTAATTACTTCCCCAAGGCCCTATCTCCTAGGACTACCAGGATACCAGTCTAAGAATTATAGAGTGAACACAAACATTTAGATAAGAGCAGTGAGTGAGAATAAAATTCACAGGGAGTAAACAACAAATGAATTTTTATATATCAAAGAATAAAATATCAACAGCAACATAATAAAAACAACAGAGAGTGTTGATAAAAATAATGTGAGTTCAGTGGCTATAAGTTTCACTTACTCCTCACTGCAAATACATGAAATCGTCTTGAAATAAGTAATACATGGAAGAATGAAGTGTAGTAATAAGGTAGGACTGAAAGATAGTCAATTCATTTATTTCCAAAGTCTAATTTCTGGTATCCAATGTTCTCATTAGGAAACACACACACACACACACTCACACACTCACACACACACACACAATCAATGAAGTACTATCTTGGCCTAAAAACAAATAGCAAGTAGAATCTATGAAGGTAAAGACTGTTGTCGTAATTCTTGAGTTCTGGGAAAATTTGTAATCAACACTTGTGGGTCTTTCCATGCCTGTTGCTAAACCTAAGAGTTCTACATAAGGCTTGGAATACACAAGATGCAGCTGCAAACTCTGTCATCGTCATTTTAAACAAGTGTGCAAATCTGTAGAACCATCTAGACTAGGTATGGCTCTGGGTGGTAAAAGCAATATTTCCTGGACATAAGCTTAAGCCTCCCTCATTCATTTATAAGACTTTTATTTTTGAATTTTAATATGTTTTTGACATTTTAATTTAATCACACGTCCTTCCTCCCATTCCTCTCTCCAAACCCACTCAGATAACGCTCTTTACTCTCTTTTAAATTCATAACCTGTTTTTTTTCATTGTTTTTACATGCATATCTGCTATGGGATGTCTTTCTGTATGCTGTGAATATGTGTTGCTATGATTGGTTAATAAAGAAGCTGCTCTGGCCTATGGTGAGTCAGGGTATAGCCAGGTGGAAATCCAAGGAGAGAGATAGGAAGAAGACAGAGGCAGAGAGACACTAGCCTTCTGCCCAAGGAACAACATTCCAGCAGACCTGTAAGTTGTGGAACACGTGGCAAAACATAGATTAATAGAAATGGGTTAATTTAAGATATGAGCTAACTAACAAGAGGCCTGTCATAGACCATACAGTTTGTAAATAATATTAAGCCTCTGGGTGATTATTTTATAAGTGGGGCTGGGCAGGACTGGAGAAACCTTCCAACTACACATATCTCTGTCTATCTATCTATCTATCTATCTATCTATCTATCTATCTATCTATCTATCTATCTACCTATCTATCTATCTATCTATCTATCTATCTATCTATCTATCTACCTATCTATCTACCTATCTATCTATCTATCTATCTATCTATCTATCTATCTATCTATCTACCTATCTATCTATCTACCTATCTATCTATTTATCTATCTATCAATTTATCTGTCTATCTATCTATCTATCTATCTATCTATCTATCTATCTATCTACACATATATTCCAAAATATGCCCTGCTCAGTCCATATAATGTTATTTTTTTTGTATGTTTTTAGGGCTGACCATTTGGGATTGGATAACCAACTGTGGTACTCCTCCCAGGAGAAGACTAGTTCTCCCATTCTTCGCATTCCTTAGTTTTCTGTAGATCTTTGTTTAGGGTTGAGGCCTCCTTAGAATCCCACAAACTGATAATTGAAATGTAAAGCTAATTTTAAGTTCAAGATATCAGTGTGCTTTGGTATTAATAGAAGCAACCTCAATATTTTTCTGAAGATTCTTACTCTACAAGCATAGCCTTTTTATAGGTGAAAACACCAAACCAGAGTTTATTAGCAAATATCAAATATACACCAAGCAAGTTCACCGTGATCAAGAAACAGATGAACCAACATAGAAGTGTACATTCAATAATAGAACTACAGAGGGGAGTAAAGCGTAGTCTATACATAAAATAGTTAATGAAATAAAATAGATTAAGGAAAATGATCAACTGTCAGATGACTGTTAATTAAAACACAAGAAGTTGTGGAAGGTTTAGGGAAATGGCTCAGTGGATAAAAGTGCTTGCCAGGCAAATATGTTGACCTAAATTAGACGTCTGGGAATCACACAAGAGCTTATCTCAGCTGTCAACTTGACTAGATCTGAAATCAACTGAATTACACGCATCTAGGCACAACTGTGCGGGAATTGTTTGATCAGATTATCTGAAAAGGGAAAACTCACCCTAAATGGGGGTGGCACCTTCTGGTGGTCACCCGAATAAAATGGCATGGGAAGACAGAAAGAAACTTTTTGTGCTTGGCCTGTTTGCCTTCACTCTTGGTGGTGAGTTCATCTGTTCTGTTGCTGTGACATTGCTTCACTCGTACTAGAACCACTTTCATCAGGATTCCAACGTAGACGGAAGAGCAGTAGTTCTCTAGGAATCCTCCAGGCCTTCAGTGCCAGATTGAGACTACTCATCATGGATTAAGCATTGATGGACTACACAGATGATATCACGGAAGCCAATTTAATAAATCCCCTTTTAATATATATATAAATGTATTTTATAATACATAGGTATATAATATATATAAATAGAATATTATATACACACACATATATATTAGTTATATCATTTCAGTTCTCTTAGAGAGTCCTTACTAATACATCATGTAAAAACAGGGTACCTATCTGTAATTTCAGCAGCCCTATGTCATGTGAGGCAGAGAGGAGAATGAATGGGAACATTATGTGCTGGCTAGCCTATACTATACAGTGCAGTGCCTAAATGTCACAAGAAATCCTGCTTCAGCAAGGTGGAAGGCAAAACCCTACAAATTTCTAAAAGTTGACCTTTCACCTCCACAAATGTTACATGTGTGTGCGCACGCGCGCGCACACACACACACAAATAATAAAAAATCTACTGAGACTCAGTATGAGTGTGTGAGTATAAGATATATGTAAATGTTAAGTTTCAGATGTTCCTACCGCTAGGAAAAAAAAACTCAGAATGTAAAATGAGGAAGCTGAATCTGAAGTTTCCACAAAGCAGATTGTGACCGGAAAGAAATGTAAACCAAGTTTCACCCTTCTATTCTCATTAGACAAAATTCCAATCCTATTTTTCTTATTGAAGGAACTGGAAAGCATCTCTCTTGGAGAATTATCTTTTGAAAGTACAGTCTAAGGGCTGAGTCCTTAGTCTCAGAAAATTCAGCTAAGTGTCTTTTAAAAGTTATTTTCACATTACTAAAGACACAAGTGTTAGATGTTGTTCACTCTTGGCTATAGTCACAGCTCCTATTGCCTAGAGACACAGTTTAAGCTTTAAAAATGGATTATGAGTGTTTTTCTGTCCAACTATTACATCTGTTAGTAATGCACTGTATGAAGTTTACAGTTGATAAAACAAACAAAAAAACTTTAACATAGGCTTTTGTACAATGAGATCATATAGAAAAGAAAATGTTACTTGCTGTTTTCCTTGGGCCATTTCTCCCCACATTCATTCCTCCAAGACAGCAACTTTTGTACCTATGTGTTTGAGTAGTAATCCAAATTTGCCAACATCCACCCAATGTGTAATTACTATTTAACAAAGAACCAAGAAAAAAATATCCACAGACTTACAAACAACAACACAAATTTCTCAGATGGAATATGTATAATTAACAAAAATAACCTATACAGCCTCCAGCCCCTTTACTCCAACCTTTGAGAGTGCTCCTTACCCGCATGTAATGAATAAATAATAGGATGATACTGAGTGATAACCCCAGAAGTTGCACTTTAACTCTGTCTTGAAACCACAGATGTTTAGATTGGCTTTTCTTGAGATACTCATTATTAAATGTTTACCCTATCACTTTATTCTGCAGATATTCTGAAACCCTAGAAATAACAATTGCAGCTTTCCAATAAGTCTGGGGTTTATTGTATTGATGATGTAATCAAGAGCTAGCTGTGAAGCTGTGGATTTAACAACCATGCTCTTGCATGTATTGATAAATCCATTCATGCAACAGCAATATTGGAGGTCATTTCCAACAGACTGATCTCAGGAAGCTGTTTTCCTTTTCTGTGTCTTCCTTTCTTCTTATCCATTTCTTTAGTAATCTCTTATATTGTTCAATATAACAGATATTATTTTAACCTACACTTTGAACCTCATACTGTAGTCAGTATTTATTCATTCCCTAACTGATACCTCAACAAAAAAGTAAAACATCAATTATGAGAAAGAGGTTTATCATCCAGTCATTTGTTCCATGCTGCTACAATTGCCTGTGGTTTGCTTTCAACCATCCAGAGAGTCATGTGTTGGAGCTTTGGTCCCAAGTGTAGGCATGATAGGAGATTATGTAGAATATTTAACAGGTAGGGCCTGTGGTCAACTAGGCTGCTTCAGGTTCTGCCATCAAAGAACCAGTACTGCTCGTACAATGTGAATTAGTTTCCATGACAAGAAGCTGGTACAAAAAAACATGGCTAGCCCCTTTTCACTGTCTGTCTCCTGGTGTCACCATATGATCTGCGCCCTCCCATTTTTTATAGAACCCAGGACCACAATGGCTAGGCCCTCTCCCATCAATCACTAATGAAGAAAACATACCTACCTACAAACAGACCTTGTAAAGGCATTTTCTTAATTGAGGTTCTCTCCTCTCAGGTGACTTTAGCTCATGTCAAGTTGATATGATACTATTGAGCACAGAAGACATTTCAGATTCTCTGGTTGTTTCATTCTGATGTCAGCTACTTACAAGATTGTGGATTCGATTCTATCAGACTCCACAAAGAAACGATGTAGGGGCTGGAGAGATAGCTCAGCTGTTAAGGACTACGCTCACAACCAAAACTATAAGAAAAGATGTAGAAGAGAAGCAATGTGATAAAGGAAAAAGAGTGGAATGCAACAAGTCAAACAAGTAGACATTGGTACTCTAAAATAAAGGTTAGAGTTTTGCAGTTGTTGATATTCCAAGCGAGTCCCATCAGTCTTGCTGACACGTCAGTTGAGGAATTCTTTATTGTATAGTCCATCCCGTGAGCTGTAGAATGTCTCAGCTGCATACATGTATACACAAACACACATCCACCCACCCACCCCATCCCCACTCACACCCCGACTGTGACAAACAAAAGCATTTACAAATATGGCCAAATGCAACATTGGCTGGGAGTCTGTACATAAATCACCCCTAGTGAACTGTGCTGCTTCAGATGAACCAGTTATTAAATCTTCAGAGAAAAACCCATGTGGTAGGAAGGATCATTAAAATATAACTTGGCAGGAATTGCCCTCATCTTTTGAAAGACAGGGAAAAGAAAGTGCTGTGACTGATAGTCAAATACACACAGCTGTTAAATGGGAACATTGGGGACTCAAACTCCAGGATTTTGAGCAGATTATTTGTGTTAGTTGCACACAAAATAGTTTGATTCAAGGATGAGTTGAATTTAAGATTGATTGAATTAATCTAAATATGCAGTTTATTTTAAAAAGTGATTTAATTATTCCTTTTATACTTTTTGTTAAAACTTTGCATATTCATTGCCAAGAAAATATTAAAGATACTTCACCTCCAAGTCACTATTCTTGAGGTATTGAAAGTATCCGCCTTGAGAGTCAGAAGATGTGGACATATGTGGTTATAAATGTCAGCATTGATATCTTCTAGAGTTAAGTAGATACCTAAAGACAGTTTTACCACCCTCTTTAAAAACATCATGGCCCTAAGCCCTGAGCTGGCTCAGCTCATCTATATACAAAACTGCCTCTTATTCAAGACCACACCTGACCCAGACACTCTTAGAGACACAAAATAGCAAGTCCAGGCTCAGAGGAAGAGCTTGTGTGATAATGACTTCAAATGCACACATTTCAGTTTATTTTTCAAACTTTCAAAAGCATTGGTTTTGGTCTTCTCTCTCAAACCTTAGGATTTATATCAAAGAAAAAAAGTAAATCTATCTCTAGAAGAAAAAATATCTAGAAGACGGGGGAAAAGCAAGAACAAAGGGAGAGAAATAACTGAGCCAAAAAAGCATTTTCCTATTGAGGATATATCTAAACATATTGCTTTAATTTAAATTTAAAGCCAAATAAATTTTTTAAATTGAAGTAAATAAAATCTATTGTGAGAAGAAATTTAAATTAAAAAAGAATACATTACTTCACCCAGCAAAATAATTTGGCATAGTATATTTACAGTTGTTTCTAATGAGCAAATGCATTCATACAAATTTTTCTAGACCTTCACCAATTTTGGACTTAGACCTTAAACTATTGAAATATGTAATATAGAGACATGTAAATCTGTAGCTCACTAACTTAGCATCTGAGGAATATGCTGGGTTGAAATTGAACTGTTTTTAGGAATTAGGAGAAATAGTTCAATTTTGTGACAGAAATCTGCAAATTGCAAGCAATTCATGAAGGCTAAGAAGAACATAGCGGCTATGGATTCAACATGGTCATAAATGAGTTTCCCCTTGTTCTTTCTAGGATATCTGCAAAGCTTTATTCTCTTAGAACAGTACTCACAAGGTGACATTTGTCATCAGGATGACTTTTCAATTATGGATCTCTTGGAAAGCTAATGATGTCTATATGTTAATACTGCCAACAGTGTGTCAGTCCATTAAAGAATCTGTGATATTAAATATACTGGTGTAAAATGATATGTTATGTCTGCTCAACCATGTGCAAACAATCTGGCTGAAGTGCTGGAATTATAAGGCAATCCTCCCCAGAGACAAAAGCATAAGGGAGTTCTGTTCAGAGCAGTTAAAATGGTCCCTTATTTTAAGTGGCTGCCTGAAGTTTAGAGATTGAAGTTTCAGAATTTAATTACATGAGATCTCTCATTCAAGACATCTGGTTAAAGTTATAATTTTACTCTTACTTTGAGTAGGGGTGAAGAGAGGAAGGCATCATTAGGCATCATTAACGTAGCCATTCCAAGTTTTACAAAATCCATACCTATTGAATTCTGAAGTGAAATGATTAATGATGTTTAAGACTCCAAGAGTGCAGAAATGGTGATTTTTCAGGCAGCTGATATTACAAGGATCTGAGACCAAATATTTTCCATCACATAATTACTAACACAAAGCTAGGGTCATATTCTTAATTTTTGTTCTTCACAGCAACCTTCATTGATTGGTTATGAACATGGACAATTGTTCAGTGTGATGGGTTTCAGATGTATAAATACAGTAACAACCTACTGATGAAATGAATTGTAGTAAACCAAATAACAAAAAGAACATTCAGCTCACAAGTAAAATGAATAATAAAAGTGATATTTAGTCACATATTTAAGATGGTGCTCTTCTAAATTCTTTTGTCATATTTATTTCTTAGTTCCACACCTCTTGCCTAATACATCTATTACAAGCAATAAATTTGAGTAATGATTTCATTTCTAATGTATAAAAATAATTGTGTGATATTCTCAGAGAATGAAACTTTATATAATGAAAACAAATAGCAACAAGGAAGAAATGTCTTATTATAAAAACCAAGAGAGAGCATTTTAGAAGAACAAATTCCTGCTATCTTAATAGCATGATATCATTAATTTAGATGTAGCCTCATGAAGTATGTATCAGCAAACTGAATAATATTATTCCATTGATAATTACTGTAACAATAATGCAACATATATTCCTTAAGGTTATTCTGTAATAGATTTTTTGTTACACTTCATTAAATAGCTTCAATTATACTACAAAAAGAAATACTTAATATTTCTTCTCATTTTAAAATACATGCAATATGTATACAATTTTCAGAAATTGTTGACATGAATATCCCATGCATAATTTTCATAAAACAATAATGGCTATGATAAATATTTATAAAAATAAGCAGAAATTAAGAAAGGTCACAGTCTCTTTTTTACTTGTAAATTTTTATTTATTATTAGTTTGTATGTATGTGTGTGCATGATAGAGGAGAGAGAGACAGAGAGAGAGACTGTGCACATGCACACATGCACAAGCCACAGGAAAGAGGTCAGAAGACAAGTTTCACCAGCAAGTTATTTATTTCCTGTAGCTGGAGTTATCTCCAGTCCCGCCCAGGCCGGCAGCCACTCAGACTGAAATAAACACACAGACTCTTATATTATTTAAACTTTTTGGCCTAATGGCTCAGGCTTCTTGCTATCTGTTTTTATATCTTAAATCAACCCATTTCTATAAATCTATACCTTGCCACATGGCTCGTGGCTTACCAGTATCTTACATCATGCTTCTTCTCGTGGCACCTGGCAGCTTCTCCTCACTCAGCCTTCTTCTCCTCAGCTTTCTCCTCTCTCTTGTCCCACCTACACTGTACTTCCTGCCTGGCTACTGGCCAATCGGCATTTTATTTATCAATCACAGCAACATATTTTCACAGCATACAGAACATCCCACAGCAATCTCCTTCCATCTTGGTTTCAGTAATTGAAGTCAAGTCTTTAGGCTTCCATAGATGAAATTCTAAATGGTCTTATTAAATAAAAAGCACAAAACCAAATACAGAGTTAAAAGCCCAAGAGGTCAGAGCACTAGTGAATAGCCTTTAGCTTACCACTCACTGCCATCCTTCCCCTGAGAGAGAGAGACCTTCACCTGTGTGACCTGTCTTTTTATTGCCTTTCTGTTCTACCTTCTCATTGGCTGTAAACCCAACCACAAGATTTCCTCATCACTGCCTGTCTATACAGACCTCCAGGTCTCTATGGTTTGTACTGAATTAAAGGTTAGGGTCACCGCTTGGCTGTCCTTGAACACCCAGAGACTCTGCCTGCCATGTGATCGGAATAAGGGCGTGTGCCACCACTGCTGGACTTCTGCTAAATCGCTTGCTTTTAGCTCTGATCCCCAGGCAACTTTATTTATTAAAATACAAATAAAATCACATTTCATCACAAATAAAATATCACCACACTTCCATGGCAAGCACTAACCTATAAAGCCATCTTTCCAGACTGAGATCATACCAGTTTCAATGGAAATATTTTCAAAGAAAAGGTTGGTATAGGGAGTGACAAACTTATATAAAGCTATTATTGATATATTTTATAATCTTTAATTTGAAGATTATATAGTAGGAATAGCCAAAAGACTCACAAATAATTGGACAAACAAAGGAAATGTTGTCTTGTTATATTTTGTTTTTAACTATTGAGGAGGCTCATTTTTTACATGATTTGTAACTAGCTGCTGAAAATAACTTTAATGGTTCGTATATCAAGTTATCAATACAGTGAGTTTATCCTTGAATGATATGTCTCCCTAAAATTGGTTTGCTTTGACTGTGTTATAATTTCCACCATGAGAGTTTAGCGGCATAAGACAGCACCTATCTATTAGCTCACGGCCATGGAGCTCTAGCTATGGATGTGACATCACTGTGTTCTCTGCTGAGATGTCACAGGTGAAGCCAGGTGTCACCTGGGCTGTGCACTGTGGCTCTTCCAGCATAGGTCTGTAGTTTAGTCTTTTGTTGTCCTCTCAGTTCTACTAAATTGTGACCTTGTCGAGAAGGAAACATTCCGAAGTTGTCTCTGTATCTCATTGCTATATTTCTGCTGGCAACCAAAAATGGCCTGTGTCCAAAAATTTAGTTTAATTCATGATATTTTGACCTTTTCTAATTATTTAATCAATGCCTATAAAACATAAATAATTTGAATATTACTTATTCTGGCTCTTTCAGTTACTTTATGAGTCAGACAGCATCATAATCAAGTATAAATTTAACTCCCATAGAACTGATCCAACAATCAGATAGGTAAAGAGTAAAGATTAATAGAGTATTCATCAAAGTAAGTAGGCAAACTGGCACTATTTTAAATAAAATATTGTAATATTTTGGGTGTACTTTATATCTTAATTTATATTTTTGACCTTATTTAACTTATGCTCTTAATAAAATATCCAAGATAATTCCTGTACGAAGACCTCCCTTTATACCTGGCAGGCACACAAAATCTATTTCTTTCTTTCATCAACCCAGACTAAATGACCACTCTACCATGAATACCCTTTTGCTTGTTTGCCATTTTAACCAATTTTTTAATTTCTTTTTCTTTTTTTTTTGGTTTTTTTTTTGGTTTTTTTGAGACAGGGTTTCTCTGTGTAGTTTTAGAGCCTGTCCTGGAACAAGCTCTGTAGATCAGGCTGGCCTTGAACTCACAGAGATCCGCCTGGCTCTGCCTCCTGAGTGCTGGGATTAAAGGCATGTGCCACCACCACCCGGCTCAATTTTTTATTTCTTGTAGTAAATATCAAATAAAGAAACTTTGAATTGTCCATAAATTACACACTAGCCATACTATTTACAAGTATTTTATCATTTCTTGAAGTCATAATATTAGCTTTGATCATAGAAATACATACCTGACTATGGAGAGGACAGAATTAAACATGAATTTTTAAGAAAGCAGGCTGTTAGGGAAATGGCATCCCAATTATCAATTCTCTCTCTCTTTCTCTCTCTCTCTCTCTCTCTCTCTCTCTCTCTCTCTCTCTCTCTCTCTCTCTCACACACACACACACACACACACACACACACACACACAAACACCCACACACACACACACAAACACTCATCCATTCACACCCCACCCATATGAACAGCTTTTTGTATGTTGTTACTAAAGAATATGAGCACAGCTCTGTTTACTGATCATTTTGAGTGTAAGAACTTGGATAAGTTTTGAATATGAGAAAATTAAACACTAGAAGGCATAAATTAAATAATAAGAAATAGTATGTACAGTGTTATACAACATGTCAATAAGCTGCACCAGCAGAACCATCTGAACCAATTGTACAAGAGTAGAAAAGTGTTTAACAGCTTACACCTGGAGTCTCCAGAATGTTTGTAGTTTTTTATTAAGAAGAAAAATAACCATGTAGCCATCACCATGGAGCATGACATGGTGAAATGCTTTATATAGACATGCTTTTAAGTAGACATGCTTTCTCTACATTTGCACATTTAAATAATTGAGAGTTTACATTAGTTTTAAAGAACTTGTGAAAAAATTCTATATAAAATAAACATTTATAGATGGCTTTTACACATCTGAGAACATTTATTGGAGAACGGATCACATTCTTTAAAAAAAAACAATAGTGAGTCAATCAAAATGTGCCTATTCTCTTCTCTGTGATTTTTATTTTGTGCATAATAAAGTTGTCCCAAGGACCATATCAGTTGTCATAACTGCAGCAGTGAAAATAATTTCTTATGATTATAGCTCTTGTTATTTGCCTTCATCAAATAGAATAACTTTAACCTTCAATGCCATCCTTTCACAATGAAGATGGGATGACTACTCTTGGAATGCTTCGTTTGTGATTATTAGTTACTCTGTCTTCATTCAGACACACCAGAGTAAGTCTGTTTCAAGGCTTATGGGTGCAGTAACATTGTGTCAGTGTGACAACCTTTATAAACACATAAGGCATATTGATCTTCTGATCCAGCGAAATGTAGAGTATCATTGGTAGTTCCATCCCTTGGTGTTTAGAAGCACGTTGCAGGTGGGGGGAGTTTTAGGACTAGGATGCTCTGACTGCACCTTGGACCCAACTGCACCAAAGTGAAATGTGAGAGCCTTTCACTAGCATCTTAAGATTTCCCAGACATTTCTAATGTACACAAGATTGGGAACAAAAACCTCCAAAATAACATCTTTCATTTCCTTATATATTGGAATTATCTATGGAGCTTTGGAACTTCCTTTGAAACAATCAAAACCAATATCCATACCAAAACCACAAGATAGGTAAAGTTCCAGGATAAGCATTTAAAAATATATTTCATTGTATTCCAGCATTCAACCATACATGATAGTGTGTGCTTTTTTAAATGAAAATCAGCGTTGGCCCTAAGTCAATGTGCTGTTTTGGTTTGGTGAAGCAAAGAAACATTGGCAGAAGGGTTAATAACCAAGAAAAAAATTCTAATCTATTTTTCAGATCTCTCTTTTAAATCACGTTACTTAAAACATGTATAATGGAAAAGTATATGACAAAGGTCAAGCACATTACCAAGTCCCATTTGCATAAAAATAAAGTGTGTTTAATAGAAGACTCCTTGAGAATCTAAAGCAATGAGAAGGAAATAATCTACCCTTATACTTTCCACAGAGGAAATATAGCATACTGCATAAAAAATATAAACTGAAATAACTTATAAATATTTATTTCACTTACTTCAACTTGAGTTTTATATTGGAAAACTAAATTGACATAGTTATTCATTTTTAATCTCCCCAAGTTATATAAGGTGTCCACATTTAAAAATGTGTTCCAATATCTTAGTCTGAATTATATTTGGATTTCTCTATGTTTTATCACCATAAAAGGTAAGTTTTGATTACAGTTTTAAAGTTTTACAGTTTATGCCTTTTCCTGCAGGCCTTCCAAAGTACAGTTGCCATCAGGTCAATGTCTAATAATGAGTTAGAATAAAAAGCTATTATTAGGACTTCCAATGTAGTAGTTTACTTCTTTAACCCCAGTACTCAGGAGGCAGAAGCATGTGGATCTCTTTGAGTTTGAGGCCAGCTTCATCTACATAGTGAGATCCAGGACAGTCACAGCTACATAGTGAGTTCCTATCTCAAAAAAAAACAAAAGAAAAAACCCACTAGTAGAATTGAAATGTGTGTGTGTGTGTGTGTGTGTGTGTGTGTGTGTGTGTGTGTGTGTGTGTACAGGTATGTGAGCATATATCGCAACGTGTATATTCACATAGGCATATGTACATACATGCATATTTTTGGTCTTCCCATCATGATTCTAGTCATGACAGTATTTATAATTTTCTTCTTTTTTATAATTTTTTAATTTTTTGAGATTACAGTGTAATTACATCATTTCCCCCTTCCTGTTTCTCCTTCCAAACCATATACCCCTCCTTACCCTCTTTCAATTTAACAGCCTCTTTTCTCACTAATTGTCCTTAATATACATTTATGTATACATTTTAAAAGAATGCATTAAATTAAAATTGGAAACAACCTTTGTTTCTGTGAAAATAGGATTAGCACATTAAGGAAGAGACAAGCATCCTCTGATCAAATTATAAAAAATGAAAAAATGTAAACTTTAAGATGCTTTATAGAGATATTTCAAAATACCTGGCATGATCCTAGGATAAGGTGTACCTCCTACAAAGTTTTTGAAGGTTGAAAAGGAAATAAACATAAATAAGACAAAAAAAAGCCATTATACTAAAAAACTGTATTCTGTTATCTGTGATCAAGCTTATACATTCCACAGAACCATTTGAGTTAGGAAGTTCAAAGTTGATTAAGGCAACATAAGCAGATATGTTTAATATTGACTTTGTGTCATTCTTTGTTTAACAAGTAAACTCTATTGGACAAAAATAATATGATTATATGTAATATCCAAAACATGGAACAAATTAAATCTTTAAAATATTGTCTTTTGAAAATTTTCCTGTATTTTTTAAATTTTCATGTGTGTATACAGTGAAATGCGATATTTATCCTATACTCTCCCTCCCACTCTCCCCATATCCTCCCCATATCCTCCCTGTATGCTTCCCCTCCCTACGTGTGTGTGTGGGGGGGGGTGTTTGACAACCCAGTAAGTCCAGTTAATGCTACCAGAGGTGCATGGGTGTGGTGCATTTTCCTGGAACATAGGAAATCTGTCTGGGGCCACATCCTCAATAAAGAATGATTCTTCTTCAGCCAGCAACTATCCACTGCCAGTAGCTCCTTATTGTGGGGTGGGGTCTGAATATCATCTACCCATTCTAATCTGGGATTTGGGCTAGCTTGATTCCTGTGCAGGTAACTACATCTGCTGTGAAATTATGGTTACAATACCTATGTCAAGGCCAGAAGACAGCGTGTCACAGCGCTCCTCCCATACTCTGGCTCTCACATTCTTTCAAATTCCTCTTCTGTGATCATGTGTAGTTAATACAAATGTCCTGTTTAAGGCTGAGCACTCAATCCTTTCTTCTCAGAACTTCGACCAGTTATACATCTCTCCATTGTCTAATTTGTTGCACACACATACACATACATACACATACACTTCTCTAATAAAGGTTGAGATCAGCCTAGGCCCATGGCTGTAAACATAAATACTTAGAAGACTATCTGACAGCATGACCAATTTGCAAAATGACAATAGAAAATCCTACCTCACCCCCATTGTGTCCCTAACTGTGGTCTTTAGACCAGGATTACAGTATCAGGCATGAAGTTCCCACTTGTAGAGATGGCTTCAAGTCCAACAAGTAAGTAGTTAATGATCCTACAATAGTGATATCACTACTGCACCAGTAGGTGTATCTTGCCCTGTATATTGCAGTGTGAAAGCCCAGTACTGGGTAAGACAACAGAGTGTACATGAAGGACAGGAAATGCAAAGTAGACTTTTTAGTTGGAGAGAGCATGTTAAGGGAGGGTAGATAGTAGATTCTAGGTAGAAACAAAGTAGTGAGGTGGACTTTTGGGAGCAGACAGGCTTAAACAAGGAAGCATATGGGATCATGGGGGGAATGAGGGGCTGATGGGGAGGGCTAACCCCAAGAATGGGAGTATGAAAAAGCCTGTACGGAAGTCTATTTTTTCACAACTCAACTTAAGAGAATAATTGAATAATAGGACATGTGAAAAGAAAGAAGAGCGGAGAATCCTAAGGTCTAAAGGCTTAGGCAGGGATGGGAGTGGTGGGATGTGTAGAATAACAAGGTAATGGGTGGATTAACCAGTTAAGGATGCATGAAAAGCCTTGTGAAAATCCACTAGTTAGTAAGGTAATTTCAAAATAAAGTTTTAAAAAAAGAGCTCAAACAGAATTATCCCACATGCATGGACATGATCCTGGAAGACATGGTTATTTAAGTGAAAATCACAGTAGAAGGCATGAGATGCTCCCTATAAGTTATTGGCTTGGAAGGCGTAGAGTCTTCCAAAACAATGTGGGCTATTTCATTGCTTTTGGCTACCCACCATAACTACATGGTAAGACCCTATTGCTAAAGACACCACACACTTTGGCTGCAGACAGAGACAAGTTATTTCAAAAAACCCAGGAATCTTTTTAATGACTGGCTTTTCACTGTGCCTGTGCAGGCTGCTGGGAGAGAAAAGACAACAATGAATTCATTTTCTTTTTCTATGTTGAGAAAGACTATGAAAATTATATATTGAAATTTGAAACAAAAGTAAGAGTTTTCTTTTTTTTTTCACGTAACATTTTTATTGGTTCTTTGGGAGTTTCACATCATGTACCCCGATCATAATCCCTTCCCAGTTCTTCCATGTCCAGCCCCCTTGTATCTCCACAAAAAGAAGTAAATAATAATAATAATAATAATAATAATAATAATAATAATAATAACTACTTTGTGTTATCTATATACTCACTGGAGCATGGTCAAATTCTTAATGTTCTGCCCTTTAAATAGTACTGAGTCCCTCCCCTCCTATATCTCCACCAGAAGCCATCAATTGTGGGGAGCTACACTTCAGCATCTCCATCACACATTTCTTTTTTGTTTTTTTTCAGACATGGTTTCTCTGTGTAGCTTTGGAGCCTTTCCTGGAACTCACTTTGTAGCCCAGGCTGGTCTGGAACTTACAGAGATTTGCCTGTATCTGCCTCCCAAGTGCTGGGATTAAAGGCATGCACCACCACCACCCAGCTTCCATTGCACATTTTAAGAGTTCTCTTTGGTGGCTTCCTATCTAGGCTGTTACTTTTTGGGAGGGTGGGCATTGGGGTGGGGGTAAAGATTGTCACACAAGCCTTCCATGTTCCCCAATCTCAACTGTGCATCTTTAGTCCTCAATATCACTGCAAAAGTAACCGCCTTGATTGCATAGTGAGTGGGAGCATGGGTCATGGACCTCCACATAGTTTTAGTTTCTAGCGACAGCACAGACCCACAAATACAGCCCCCTGCTGCAGGAGAACCACAGACCCAGATATGGGTCTCAGCAACAGTAGGGATCTGGACGTCACCATGGCCTCAGGTGACAGCACGGGTCAGTCACATCAATTTGGCCCCCAAGAGCAGTATGGCCTACAGACAACGATATGGTTTCAGGAGGCAGCATAGATCGTGGACATCTGCCTGGCCTTCAATGGTAACTCGGACCATGGACATCAACATCAACCCCAGCTGCTTCAGTATGGCCATGGACACAGATGTGGCTCTCAATGGCAGCATGGGCCTGGGCATTTTTAAATGTGTGATTTTTGTTCTTAAACTTCTACTTCTACATATGACACCAAATCAGATTTTAACCTCTAAAGGGGTTCTGAATTACATGTAAATATCACCTGCATCACCTCTCTCTCATTGTCTCTCTGTCTCTGCCTCTCTGTCTCTGTCTCTGTCTCTCTCTCTCTCTCTTATGTAAATAGTTCTTTCTTTTTTAAATGCATATCTAAACTTAATTCAAAGTGATAGAATAGCCTGACTTGGTCATTATACATTGTATATATTAATTGAATTATCGCATTTTACCCAATAATTATGTATAATGATCATGTTAATTAAAAACATAAATGATAGAGCCTAGTACAATATTTTCAAGAATGCAAGGCTTCAGAAGTTTTCATATACAAATGCCCACACTTAAAACATTTTTTAAAGCAGTTTTAGAGGAAAAAAAAAGAGTAGTGACATTGATTGAATACTTTGGGGAAGAGAGGAAGTCTATGGATAAATTTTTGAGTATGTTCATTCAATTTCACAATTTCTTCCTTTCTTTTTTTTTTTTGGTTTTTGTTTCTTTAGACAGCACTTCTCTGTGTAGCCCAGCTGTCTTGGAGTTCTCTCTGTAGACCAGGCTGGCCTTGAACTAAGAGACCCACCTGTCTCTGCCTCTAGAGTGTTGGGATTAAAGGCATTGTGCCACCATGCTAAACCAATTTCACAATTTCTTAATAAACCTTTTTCTATTGGACTTTGCAATCATAGAAGAGATTATCACCTTTCTTATTTGACTTTTTTAACTGTACTTCAAATGATCAAATCTTGTATAAATAGTAGTAAGAATCTGTAGTTTAGTCAAATTCATCTTGTTTTCTGGAGTTGATTTGGTTATTTGTATCAAGGGCAAAAATACCACTTGAAATCAAGAGCTAGAAATAACTGTGGGACAGCACTGAGCCAAAGTTACATATGACATGCCTGACATGCACCTTGACTTTGAGTGACAATTGGCACTTACACCTCCTGGACTAAGTTGAAATTGATTTCTGAAGGTAATTTCCTCACCATTGGTTCCTCACATGAGTCAATGAGTTGAGAGACATTCTTCCAGTTAAAAAACCTACCTTTATTGACAATGGAAATGCAGGCCATGACTTTAACCTCAATGTTGGGTTTGGAGCCTTTTCCAGTTCCTTGGCTCAACTGTGAGGATTATTGATTGTTACTAAATAAAGATCATAATATTGTACCACTGAGCAGCTCTTTTAGCTAATAAGCTAACTCTAAATTTTATTTTATTTAGCGGCAATAACAAAGGTTTGATATGTCAAAAAATTCCACATCAATGTTTAAAACAAAAATAATAAATCATTAATGATTTGGTATTAGAATTTTCCTTGACTTTGAAATATACTATCTTGTAGTACAGACAGTATGTATAAGAAATATTTTTTAAACATAACCCTGCAGGTGGAGGAGCTTGGACCTCCCTCAACTGAGTGTATCAGGCTCTGCTGACTCCCCTCCATGAGAGGCCTTGCCTTGGAGGAGGTGGGAATGGGGAGTGGGATGGCGGGGAAGGTTGGGGGTAGGAGGAGGGAGGGGAGGGAATCTGTGGTTGGTATGTAAAATGAATAGAAAATTTCTTAATAATAAAAAATAAAAACAAAAAAGAAATCAATAACTAAAAGGTAGGAATGAAGAAAAAATAACCCAAGACCTATGTCTAATTAAATGATAATATGAAGAGCTATGATTTAAAAAAAGTATAGAGAAAAAATGCAAAACAGTGATAAATCTCCCCCAATCTTTTAGGGACACATATCAATTAAACATCTTGTGGTGGTGAAAGTGACCTGGATGTTGTATATGTAGCCACTAGCTACATGTTGCAAATTAGCATAGAAACTATGGCTACTGTGCCTGAAGAAATAAATGTTTTCATTTATTATTTTGAAATTGAGTTGAGTTTAAATGCCCAACTTAAGTACTTAATAGCTCGTGTTGTTGATGTGTAAGTGTAATACAAAAGTCAATGTGAAATTAGATTGATGTTTCATATCAGTGTAGTCAGAATAGACCAGGGGTGTATGCAAGATCTTTGCGCTTCTGAAGCTGTCAATAGATCAATGAACTGATGTTCCAGCCAGTGTTCACATCTATCCTACTGCTATGTACCATATTAGTTGAGGGTTATTTGAACCAATTCTTTGGTTTTATTGCTGGTTTGTTTGTTGAGTCAAGTTCTTATAACACAGCCCAGTAGACCTCCACTGTGTTATCTTCTCTCAGGTCCCCAGGTACTGTAGTTACAGATGTGAACCACCCTGTCCAGGTCTAACTCATTTTTTAAGATATATAAACCAACTTAAGTTTTCCTCTAAGATAAAAATCCAAAGTTACTCTACCTATTTAGCTTTTTCATTCAGTTACTCATTCATTCAGGTATGTGCATGTGAGTAGTGCTGCAGTGCATGTGCGAAGATCAGAAGACCACTTGTGGGAATCAGTTCACCTTCCTCCATGTGGGTCTCTAAAATCAAACAAGTACTCAGGCTTACATCAAGTGCCTTTATCCACCACACTATCTCACTCGTTTTCAGTTTTCTCCTTAAGTGCCTTCCCTCAAGTCTCAATGTTATCATTAGAAGAGAACAATCATGCTTGTAAGAGAGAAACCATGATGTGGATAACTGGACTTTGAATGTCTGTGACTTCCTGATCTGATTTTATGCACATTTGGCAGCCAGAATTCTTAGACTGAAGGCTCAACACTGCTAGAGAAGGGTTTCTGTATTTATCCACTTTTCCATTACTGTAATGAAATGCCCCAAGTTAAGTAATGTTGTAATTATAAGGTGGTTCCTTTTTAGAGAAATTGTGCAACTTCTACATTTACCATCTCTTAAATTTTTCTTTCATTCCTTGTGTTCTATCCTTATAACTTAAACACTTGTTGTTATTTCAACTGCTAACTCCAATATTTTATTTCCCCGAGGACAGAAGCACCCAAGAGAGGGGAAGAGAAGAAGTGTCAGAGTTACCTGTGGATTTTTTATGATTACATGACATAGGCATATTGTCTTTTGGAATAAACTTCATTCCAGATATTTACTATTAATCACAATACTACAATAATATAATGTAGAATAAACAACCCCCAGATCTCCATGTTAATCCATAGTAACGTTCCATTGTGTGTCCACCTGAAACAAAGGAGGATTTTTTTCCTGACATGAGTATTTTTCAAATACTTGGCATTCACTTAATAATTTGCAGAGGTAGGCTGACTTCTGCTTGTATGATCACAGCAAGGTGATACTTGTTATATGGCACATATTCTGATGCCTTAATTTGATTGTGACATAGGAAATAGCTCATTTGTAACTTTGCAAATATGTATTTAGTCTTAGTCTTATTTTCTTTTCTTTTAAAAAATTCTCAAGAATAACATATATTTCCCAGAAACAATACAATTTGTCATATACCTATACCAGGGATGGGGGAAGGCACAAAATTCTTTAGGTCATAGGCATTAGCCATTCATTTCTATTGTTTTTAAGCATGTAAGATTGCATGGGTATATTGGAGTGGGTGACACAAGAGTATTTGGTATTCTTAATATTGGCCATCAAAATTCCATCACAATTTTTTACAGACCTTGAAATAACAATACTCAACTTCATACGGAAAAACAAAAAACCCAGGATACCTAAAACAATCCTATACAAAAAGAACTATGGGAGGTATCATCATTCCAAACTATACTACACAGCAATAGTAATAAAAACAGCATGGTGTTGCCATAAAAATAGGTTAATTAATGCAATTGAATCAAAGACCCAGAAGTAAATCCACACACCTATAGATATTTGATTTTTGACAAAGAAGCCAAAAGTATACAATGGAAAAAAATCACCTTCAACAAATGGACTATCTTTTCCCTGCTATGACTTGCACCATTAGGCTAATAGAACATGTCACTTATCTATTGATTGTAGTATTAAGGCAACTCCACGGAGTTAAAAGGGACGTTTATTTTGTGGGGTAACTTACAAGTAAAGGGACAGGTTACAGGGTCTGAGAAAGGTGTAGTACAGTCCAGCGGTGTTCTCTGGAGAACTCTGCTCAATCTACCTCCAGCATCCAGGATCCAGGAACCAAGAGAGCTGGCACATCCAGATCTCAGGTCTTAAGGGCTCGTGTCTCAGCCCCACCTTGTAGCCATGACAGTTACTGAAGCCTCAGAGGGGGTAGTAGTACTTCCAGGTCAAAGCTGGAACAGCTACCCACTACACTTGTCCAATATTAGTCTCAGTTTCTAACAGACAACTTCTAAAATCTCTAGATTTCTCATATTTATTGTGGCTTTATTTTTTTGGTCTTCTGTTGGTTTGACTGATGTCTGGCACTTCCTATAGAGCTGTAGGATGGGGGCTGACCCAGTCACCCCTAAAGAAATGCAGGATCAAAAGGCTGCACTTTCAGCCGCAACCTCTACCCTTCAGGGAATGAGTAGAGCTGATGACTAAGTTCACCACTAATGATCCATGATTGGATCAGTCATGTGCCAGTAATGAAATCTCCATGAAAATGCAGAAGGACAGTGTTTGAAGAGTTTACAAAGGTTTGAGCTCATGAGGTTTCTGAATAGTGTACACCTGAAGAAGATATGCAAGTTCCATGCTTTCTCAAGTCTTTTCTTATCCTTCTTTTCATCTGCAATACTCTGAGTCTTTATAATAAACTCATAAAGAGAAATTGGTATTTCTCAGAGTTTTTTGAGCTTCTCATGATAGTCAATGAAACCTATAGAGGCTCTGGAGCTATGGGAAACTCCATTTATATAAGCACACCTTGGAGAGCTTGGGATTAGTCCCAGACTGTGCTATTAAAGCAAATCTCAGTAAATGGGTCACAGAAAATTTTGGTTTTCTAATGCATATAAACAACATCAAAGTGCACAAACTCAAGAGCATTTTAGACTGCACTTGTAGTCCTTGGTCTATTGTTACTGTTGCTGTTTGTTTATTTACTTTTGTTGCTGATTGTTGAAGTTGCTTAAATCATGGAGGTTATAATCAATATCTTCTAATCTCTTTTTTGTCAATATTTCTATCTTCATCATAAATTTTTCTAATAGTATCTGCAATGATGAGTCTTTTCTTCAAAAGTATCAACATATTTTGCCAAGATTCACCAGAGGCACCATATCCAGATAGCTTCTATAAAATGATATCTCTTAAATACTGTCTTGATAGTCAAAATTATCCCTTGATCCGTGAACTATTGAAAGGAATCTTCTTTAAGTAGGCTTGAAATACTCAATGTTCCATATTGCGAAGAGATGTGCTGTCATTCAGTCTTGTTATTCTATTTACACAGCACAGAGAGTAAATTGAAAACAATTTTGAAGGGCAATAAGATTTTCAGGATGGTTAGTGAACATTGATTTCTATTTAAAATTAATAGTTGCATTAGATTCTAGCATGTTATCCTTCTCTCTTCAATGCTTTGGAGTCAAGCATTGACTTCTCTCCAGTTACAAAACTCAAACACGGTATTTTCTTCCAAAAGAAGTCTGTGTCATGTATATTGAAAAACCTATTGTTCATTATAGCCACCTTCATCAATGGCCATAAGTAGATTTTCTGTGTGATTTGATGTTTCACCCCGATCTTCTGTAGTATGCAGCTGCATCATGCCTCTAGACATGAAACAATCTGCTAGATTCATGCTTGTTTCTATGGTTTCCTCACTTAGCATCTATAGAAATAAAGAAATCAAAAACCTTAGGGGTGTGTTTAGAATTAGTAGCTACATTTACAGACTGCTCTATCTGCTTTCATATTCTATCTAAACAACTAAAAATATACATCAGCAGTAAGGTAGTTTTGATTTCTTATCATTTGTGTTTTCAATGCAGTCTCATTTTTGTTTTCTCTCAAGAAATTTCCTTTATAATATCCACTTGGCTGTTTAACAGAAGATACCAAGGCTAAGACATCCTGCACCTTTGACATCCCTTCCTCACTAACATTATTCACTTCCAGCTTCTGTGGAAAATTAGACACAGAATATGGTTGTTTTACTTGAACATGTAGAACCATTCTAAGTTTATTAATTAGCCTAATTTCTATGTCACTGAATAACTAGGACATAGAGAAACCAGAACAAAAGATATCAGAAACTGTGGGGTGGGCAGTGGAACAGCCAAAACCCACACCAATGTATTGTTTGGTGTTTTAAATGGATGCAGTTTTTGATGCCTCAAGACAACTGCAGTAGTGACACCAAAGGCCCCGGTCATAGAAAACCAAAGCACATACAGTAACAATGAAAAGGTTTGGGAAGATTCAAAAATGTCAAAAAATGGGAAAGAGACACAGTGCCTTCATGAAGATGTCATTGATACACTTGCTCAATGAAAGGTCTTCTAAGTTTTGATTAAAGAATTTTTGTATCAAAATACAATAAATCAAAGAGCAAAAGAAAAAAATGAGGTTTGTCCACTGTCAGTCATCCAGAAGCACAGGGAAATCTGTCTGAAAGGTGTGAATGGGAACCCATCTGTGGCAGGAAGTGTTTGTGGTTGTATTCTCAACCTGTGAGATTTGATCATATGTCAGCACATATTCAAAACTGAATTAAGTCAAGGACACTAAACTAATGTCCACTGCAGAACTGAATACACACTTGTTAGTGGGAAGAAATGCTCACACCCTTGGAAGCCACAGGAGTCTTCCTTGTTGTGTGGTGAGTGAGCAGAGGGGAAAAAAAACACATTTTGAGCTGGTGTTGAAACATGTAAGGCTTTTTCTTGACAAGCACCTTCAGGTCTGAATCATCCTATGAAGCAAAGCAAGGCACATGGTGATGTTCAGTATGAACAGCTAGGGAAATACATTTCTTCCCTTTTATAGAAAGTCCTGCAAGGTTTCAGAACAAAGAGCATGAATCAGTAAAGGCAGGGACAGGACCACCAAGGCTATCATTACAATCTGTCTCAAAATAAATTTGAGGCAGATAGGACATTTCCAAATTCTAGTTAACACCAGGAAGAAAGGTGCACAAACACGTTAAGAGTAAGTGAGTTTCCCCTCACTTGTAAGCACCTTGTATATCCAATAGAAATGAACTGACACTGTAACCTTCTGCATCATGACTGTGATAGGACCTGGACATAAACAATGCTGTCTAGAACAGCACTTTTTTTTAAGTTATAAAAATATGGATCCTTGTGACTATTCACTCTAAGCCAAAAGCTGCAAAGTCTTGTGGTGATAGCTCAAAATTCATGGTGATCCCAAATGAAGAGGTCATATGTAGGGAAACCATAGTCAGCCGCATTGGTAAGACACTCTAGAAGTTCTGGTTGTCTGTCTCAGCTGACAAGAGAGATAAAGCTGCACCCACAGATTGAGATTTGCATACAGGAAGCCAGAGATTATCTATGCTGAGGAGAAATAGAAGAAATGGAAAAGCATGTGTTGGTATCTGCTCTCTCTCTCTCTCTCTCTCTCTCTCTCTCTCTCTCTCTCTCTCACACACACACACACACACACACACACACACACACACATCCTACTCACAAATTATTAATCACTCCCCTTCCAGCTTTCCCAGCTTTCCTAAATAATCCTCACATTCAGTCTACAGATACGGTTCACTTAGAGCTACAATGAGTCACAGAAAAGTAGGACATATTCTGTTCCTTCACATTTATAAACATAGAGGGCTACAGTGGCCTTTCATGATTTCTTTTCTTATGGGTTTCAATAGCAAGGGAGATTATGGCTTGGGTTTCAGGCAAGTGTGCTAGCCTGAAGTTGGTTCTGGAGGGAATCTTTCGTAGAAATAATATGTACATTATACATTCCTTGGGTTAGTTCCAATGAATATGCCTTAAATCAATGAATATTCATTGCATGTATACCAAGAGTGTACATTATGCTTGTGATATTGTGATATGAGTATGCAATACAGTGCTGTGATATTAATTGATTAAAGTAAAACTTCCTTGTTTTACCTAAATGAAGTTTAATTGAAACTATCAAAAACTAAATACAGATCCTTTTGAGTGTGCATGAATGAGTGATAATGAGACAAGGTACAGCTTTTTTTTCTCTATCAGCAATATTTACTTTGAATAATATAGCTGCTTGCTACATAATATAGCTGCTTCCCATATCATAAATAGAAAAAGGGTAGATTAACAACTTAAGCTGGAGAGTGTAATTGAATTCTTTAGTATTCTCTGTCTAGTTTTCATCATCCAATTCACTTTCATCTTAGAAGAAAATTACTTGGGTCAAAAGTCATAGCTTTAAGTCTCTAGGTATATTATGAGAAGCAGAATGCTAAGCTGAAAAGCTATTATCGGGTTTCTGATAAGAGCTTTTGTGATAGGAATTCTAATTTTTGTGTGGCCATAGTTATTAATGAACACTGGAGGTTTGGGCTCTGGCTGCTACAGTGGATAATTCAGTGGGACTGTATGACATCATGTCACTCTGGCAATGTACCTGAACCTTTTCCCTGTAACATCAGTTTGACTTTGGGTAGAGAATCTCCTTGCACACTTCCAAGAGTGCCAATGTGTGTCTTCATTCAGATGTTTTCAAGAAAATGTTTCCTGCTAAATATAAGTAAATGCTAACTTTTATATGAATTACACCTAATATCTAAAAATCATCTCCCTCCTAGAGGATTGTTACAGGTTGCTATTTCAACTTAATGACTCTCATCTTCTAGTAAATTTGGCACTACTTATAAGTTAATTTAAAATGAATGTTGGCAGGACCTTAAATATAAACAATTTATTATTCATAGATGTATAGATGAAGTTTGATGACAGATGTATCCTGACATGACTTAACCCAAATTTGTTTTAGTCTCTTGGACAGTTATTGATATTTCACATGCAAAATTTCCACTCTTGTATCGTTTTTGAGCTTAGTGTTTCAAATGAGGTGATTTAGATGAGCACATAAAAAAGGCAGAGCTCTTCAATGGGGGGAAGTTTTCACAATGAAAATGAACAATGGAATCTGACTAGTTGTATAAGGCAAAGTCTCATTTATTAAAATGGAGCACTACACTGGCCTTTCATTATTAGTTTTCTTATGGGTTGTAATAGGGAAGTTTTGAAGATCTCTCAAGCTAACATGGTATGGTTCTGTTTAAGACTAGAGAGGCATTGTTTTGTTCTATGTTCATATACCTCACCTCTTACTTTGTATTAGCTATGTATACAGGATTGTGCTAACTGATGGAATTAAGGTGATGTGTCTCTTTAACCTAATCTCCTACACATAGCCCTGTATGGATGTTATGCAGTTATATTATATCTTTCCTTCTGTACTCCTTAGCTGTCCTGGGCTTAATATTACTGCATTCCTAAGGAAATTGAACTTTTGGAAATTTTCAGCTAAAATTCATATGCAATGCTAGAGCACCCAATTGAGATTGTCCTGTCACTAGAGGCTGAACGAAATGCTAGTGAGGTCCACTGTAATTTTCCATCTCAGTAAATTACTGAGAAGTCGTGAATTGTTGCAACTAAGTGCTTGGGGATGTTTTTCTTTTGTCTGAACTGACACCTTAAATTGGAGCTAGTTTTATTTTTTTTTTTTTTTTCAGGACAGGAGCCACTCAGGTAGTCATGTGGTGAGATTTGATAAGTGCTGGAACATCTATCCTGCCCTCAAATACCCATCATCACAGTGTGGTCTATCACAGCTCTTACAAACACTGACATGAAAACCTCGCTCTTCAAAGTGACATTTTTCTTTTGAAAATAAGAGTATTCCATAAGGATGTGGAATCCCAAAAGGAGAAGAGGGGAGGGGAGGATAAGAAAGAACAATAGAGGGGTGAATAATATCAGACATTATATTCATGTATGAAAAAAATATCATGAAATTATTTACCTTTTACAAGTTGATATACACTTACAAAAATAAAACTGCTCTAGAAAAGACATGTATTTATCTTACCTTCACCATTTATACAATTATAATTTGTCAAGTAGATAAAATATAGAAGAAGCAAATAACTTAAAGAATCACTTTAAAGGTTTATGTATGCCCTCACAGGAAATGTGCAGATTGATGCATTCGGGTTAACGAAACGCTGTGCTGTAACCAAGGTAGTTCAAATACATAAGCTTTTCTTCACCCCAAAAGTTATCTCATGTCTCCAGTAGGACAAGTGTTTTATCTCCACGCTGCTTCACTTGTACCTAAAGCATGATGTCAGAAGTCCACGTAAAATAAGACATACTAAGTGGGCTTTCTCTCCCTAGGTATGATGAGTAAGTTCCATTCATTGTGTTGGTAAGAAGTGGTATAAGTGGTTTTTTTTTTTTTTTTTTTTTTTCACCATTTATGTTTCAATGAAACATCTGGTTTCTGTTCAGGTTGGTGGCTGTTATAAATAAAGCTGCTTGTAAATTCTTCTGTAAATATTTGTGTTTGATAATTTTAATTTCTCATGAGAAGCACCCTGAATTAGGATCGCTGGGCCATGCAGAAACTACCTGTTCAAATGAATAGGAGTCTACAGAGCTGGTTTGTTTTAAACATGACTGCAAGTTTACGTTACTCCCAGGAATGTGTGATGGTTTCAGGTGTGTTGTTCCCCTCTACTTGGCACTGTTGGTCTTTATTTCTTATATTTTAGTGGTTAGGTAAATTTTATCTAATTTGGGTTTCATTTCCATTTATGTGTAGTGACTAAAATCATTGAGCATCATTACTTTTGCT